AACCCTGAATTCGATATGTACCAACGACGCATCGGTATGGGTAGGCCCTCGTCAGGTCCATCGCTGAATTGCAGGAGAACCTCTGCTTCAATATGTCGGGTAGTTTGTATCCATGCTACATACCATGACTCGATTGGCTAACTTGATCTCCTACACCATCAACAAGGGAAGGTTATCTCCAGACTAAAGTGATGGCTGGCTGGGAAGTCGATCATTGGTGGGCCCTATGAGAATCAGGCACTCTGATCAAAGTCGACACATAAAAAACTTGATAGATACAAGTGCTGAATCTCATAATACCTAGAGCCATGATTTTGTGGCCTCTAAAGGAAGTGCCAACATATCTATGGCGAGATAATTTCTCGTACAGTAGTACCTCATGGTTGACAGAATACCATGAGACTGGGTAAGAAACCCGAATGCTTGAAGGGAGGTCCCACATTTTGTACACACTCCTGATTCATGAAATTCCTCACGCAGTGGTTCTGGAAACCAAGTGGCCCTGTGGTCTCCATATCAGTGTACTCCGACTCCTCCCATGAATGAACTATTTAGCTGCCCCTTTACCCCTGTCTCAACTCAATCCAACTCTCATACTATCTAATTAAGAAATTACAGGATCTTCTGCTTGTTTCCCGAAGTCCGACATCTAAAGTCGCTTCTAAAATTAACCATTAGTACTTCCTTGTACGTACTTCGAAATCCATGGCCGGGCCTGATCTGCAACCATTTCAAGGCTGAAGACACCCAAGCCTCAGTGCTGAATGCGCCTCGTTATTCTATCCTCGCTTGGTACTGTACTACCTTAGTACCTTGGTTGTTTACCATACCTAATCTGGATGCCTTAGCTTTTTCGCATGCATCGATCCCGCCCAAGTAAGAACCGTAAGAAACATGAAATAATCAGCCACAAAGGCGAGGCAGCTAGGTACTTAGTGCGAGTACTCCGAACATATTTGAGAATGGCGCAGCCGCGCTACGCTCCGACTACAGCTAGGTAAGGTACAGAGTTCTTCCATTGTTTCCGCGAATTTCGAGCCGTAACAAACAGAACAACTATCACAAACTCAGTCCAGACCTTGCAAGTAGTGTTGCTGCTATTGCCTCATTATCAATGGGCTCTGAGTGGTAACGATCAGTGCACAACATGCTTACCTACCCTACGAAGCAAACTCCCATGCCCAGATGTAGGTAACCTAAGTAGGGAGTACCTAGGTACTGACATCTGTAAGGTACCTTACCTCTAAATACCTATCTACCTAGACTCAGGTAACTTACCTGTCTTTGAAATACCAGTACCTACATACAAGGGCTCCTAGATACACCCCATCCGACGGGCAAAAGCACTTTAGCAGTCCAGGTAGGTAAGGTACTCTCTGTAGGGGCTGGGCTATAAGTACTACTACCGAGCATCGCCCAGGTAACAAGCCGCAGGGCAGTCGAAAGCCAGCCATTGTCCAGAGTACCCAGTTTAGTTTGGTATGTTCAGCCCAAAGGCGGTTTTCGTCTTCCCCGCGAACCCAACTGCAACCCTTCGAGCGAATCATTTCCATATGGCTCTCACCAACACTGTAAGAAGTCTATGATCTGTGGGGATTGGTCGCGCAGGCAAGTCAGTGCATGTAGCAGTATATGGCCATGGTGTACAGGTGCTACAAGCGAAATTGGAAATAAGGGACGGAGCCAATCGCAACAGAGTTCTTAAAGCAATCGCAAATGCTCTACGCTACCTAGCTCTTGAGGTAACGCTCTCAGAAGCATGCTTGTGCGACCAACTCTGTTGTACGTTGATAGTGCTAGCTCAGGCTAACATACGCAAGAACAGAACAACAAAATAGAACTCATCCAATTTAGACCTTCAAGACGAATCATGCTCAAGAATATGCTAATATAACAGACATGGATATCAGTACAGTAGGGCTGGGCCCTGTAGATTTTTGTATCTCATTTTCACATACTCAGTCGCCTAGCTCAACCTTTAGCCGGTAACCTTGAAGATGGCCTCGGCCAGTCTCTTGACGTTGCCCGAGGTGATACCAGCGACCGAGATACGACCGTCCTTGGTAGCGTAAACGGAGTGCTAGGGTCATGTCAGTGAGTTGGGTCACTTTAGCAGATCCCATGGATGCTTACCTCCTTGGCCAGAGCTTCCATCTGCTCGGGCTTCAGGCCAGTGTAGGCGAACATGCCAATCTATCACAAATCAGCATTGCTTAATCTGGCAAACATGAGAACAGCTTTCTCACCTGGCTGGTGATGTGAGACCAGTCGTGCTTGCTGCCAAGGTCCTCCAGGTTCTTCTTGAGGAGAGCACGCATCTCAATGATACGGTCAGCCATGCCCTTGACCTCACCCAGCCACTGCTGGTTGAGCTCGGGGTCGTTCATAATGGTAGAGGCGATGCGGGCACCGTGCACGGGAGGGTTGGAATAGAAGGGACGGATGAGGATCTTGACCTGCGAGTCGACACGCTTCTTCTCCTCGGCAGATTCACAGACGAGAGAGAAAGCACCAACACGTTCGCCGTAGAGACCCTGTTGGTTTAAAATGGTCAGTCTCTGAACTGCTTTCATGAGGTTGACGGCCCTAGCTTACCATGTTCTTGGCGAAACTCTGGCACAGAGCAATGCTGTGACCCTCCTTGACGAAGTGTCTAGGGGCGAAAGCATCACGGTCCGCGTTACCACTGGCAAAGCCCTGGTAGGCCATATCGAAGAAAGCAAAATGACCCTTCTCCTTCATGACATCGCTAATCTGGCGCCACTGGTCCTGGGTGGGATCAACACCGGTGGGATTGTGAGCACAGGCGTGCAGCAGAATGATGCTGTTGTTGGGAGCGGCCTTGATGTCGGCGATGAGGCCCTCGAAGTCAAGGCCAATAGTGTCCTTGTTGTAGTAACGGTAGGACGCAACCTCCATTCCGGAGTCCTTGAAGACGGCGGCATGGTTGGCCCAGCTGGGGGTGGGAAGGTAGATCTTCTTAGCGTGAGGGTAGAAGCGCTGCAGGAAAGCTCCTCCGATTCTGAGAGCACCGGTACCGGAAATGGTCTGAGTGATGACGAGACGGTCCTCCTTGATGACGGCAGAGTCGCTGCCATAGGCCAGCTCCGCAGCAGCCTTGGTGAAGGAAGGAATACCAGTGATACCAGCGTATTCTTTGTCGAGACGCGACGCAACGACCTTGTCTTCGGCAGCGCGAACCGAGGGCAGAACGTAAGGCTTGCCCTTGTCATCACCTGTTCATTCCGATTACAGAAAATCAGTCGTTGCATGAAACAATTGGCAACAATTAAGCCATCGAGAAAGTTTGAGCGATTCAAGACACGAATAATACGTACGGTAAGCGCCAACACCAAGGTTGATCTTCTCCTTGAAGGTATCGGCCTTGAATGCCTCGGTGATACCAAGGATAGCGTCCTGGAATCATCCCATTACGTTAACAATGACCCACCGACCGACTTTCCAGATAATAGAGTGTATTACCGGGGGACCCTGAGGAACATTGGACCAGGCAGAGGCATGTCTAGCACCGACGACCACGGTGCGCATGCTTGCCTCACGGGAAGCAGCCTGACGGCTGGCGACTCTGAGAGTGGACAACATTGCGATGTCAAGGGCGCTAATTCCAGAGATCTAAGAAAAAGTGTAATTAGAAGCTCAAGAGGTCCTCGAGGGAGAAGTAGTGGAAGGATCAAGGAGAGAAGTAGGAGAGAAGAGAGGAAAGGTCAAAAAAAGGACACCGATTGGAGATCAATCCTAATAAGAGTCGAGAGCAGCAGATCCGAGTCGGAGATACAGCGTGTGAGTTTGTGTATTTTTTTGACTCATGTGAATAACCATAGGGAAATTCCGGGGAGAAAAGCGGCCGATTCGGATTGGTCACTCTCTCCGCATCGCGGTTAAATTGGGTCCTGCTTGAGGTACTTTGCTACCTAGGCTCTCCGGTAGAGACCTTCCTGTCTAAAGGCTCTGAGAGTCCTAAACATGGCTATGAAGAGGAATAAACACAGCGGGTTGTATTTAATTATTTCCATGAAAGTGTCGGATATTCAAGTATTATTGTTGTCTGATCTGTTACTGCACACCATACGAAGTACCAACGCCGATCACGTGACCTAATATCCTTGTTCGAGACAAGGGACCGAATGCTATATCGAAAAAAAGCAGTCTTGGATACTCTCGGGTCAGCCGGAGGTTTCGTAGATCCTTCTAACATGAGCCTTGATGACAGTAGCAAAATGGCAATCTCTTGATGCCGAAGTGTCAATGGAATAATCATCAATCATGGTGCCATCTCCTCAGCTCAGTTCCGGCGCCCGCCTTCCGGTGAACTGATTGAGCATGTCGGCCCACTGTCTAGAGCCTGAGGCACTATTTGACTGCCTAGACCTGCCTGTGTTTCCCCTCACGAGAATTGGGGTAAATGGAGTTGCTCGCCATAGATAGGCCTTAGAAAACTTACAACTGGTGTCTACAGAGTAGGTAGCGGTATACGTTGTTTTGCGACATACTCCGCTACGGGTGGGATTATTTCCTTTTTCAGAACATACTTCCACTTCTACGGCGTACGCAGGTCAAATGGTCAATAGCTAGAGCAGCAGGGAGGACCGCCGAACTGCTGTCGATGGTCGGTTAAATTTCGCTCCAAACGCCAGACTGTCAATCTCGATGCTGCACTACTACTAAGGAGATCCAGATTCATCTAGATAATAATGGCCGAGTCCGGTTGACACCTGTAAGCTGAGCTATATGATATTGCAAGTGCCTACGTATTCGTTCCATGACAAACGTGTTACACCAGCGTTGATATAATCGCTTTAAACACCTTAAATGTATTGAAGCAATGAACCATAACTCCCAAAACCGAGCAAATCATGGCGTACAAGGAGTCCATTTGATTATATGGACCTCATGGTATATTCAGGTGGCCTATCGATGCTAGACCCAACCATCATCATTAAATATGCATGACACGAAAAAGTGGGCGAGTCTCCGAGATATCATCCCAATCTCACACCAGCCTGACGGTTTTTCCGAGCCGTGGCTCCCATAGCATTATTCATACCTGTGTGTTGACTGCTGTCCAAAGCGCTCATGGCCTCACGTTTCTTCTCCTCTTCGATCTTCTTCAACCGTTTCTCAGTCTTCATCCTGCCACTGCCCTTGCCGTGAAACTGGTGACTAAGATGCTTGAAAGCTTCCTTTTGGTTCATCAAGCGACCAAATTCGTCAACGTACTTGAGCTGTACGTCGGGCTTGTATTCCCGGTTGAAGACTTCCGCCATGTGTCGTGCATCTTGCTGGTCACGTTGCTTGTTCTCCCACCGCGCGTGCTCTTCACGCTCGCGGGCCGACATCCGATCGAGTTTACCGGAGGCTCGGTCGCGTTCACGCTGTTGCCGAGCGCGTTTCTCGGCCTCCGTTTCAAGGTGAGTCTTCTCTTGCAGGAAACGCTGACGATCCCGCAGGAGCGCGTTGTGCTCAACAGCATCGGAGGGTTTGACCAGTCCGCGTTGCTTGAGCATATTCAATGTGGCACCAAGCCCTTGATCCAATGTAGTTTCTTCCTCCAGTCCGGTTCCGGAGATTTGCTGGAGCTGAGATTCTTCCCTTTTAATGCGTTCCTTGAGGTCCTCTTCGTCTTCAATATCATTGTACGAACGCTCCATATCCACGTCAGCGTCATCCTCGACTGGTTCTTCCTTGACACTCTCGGCAGGCGTCGTTGTTCGTCGTCTCTCGCGGCGCTCTGGAAGGGTCGGCTTCTGAAGATTGGAAACAAATTCTGATGTCTCATCTATGACCAAGCCAGGCTCTTCCGTCTCTTCATCCTTTGCCTCCATTGGCGTTTGCGATTCCTCCTCTCTGAGCTGTCGTGCGATATCCTCGGGTCGCACTTTCTGTCGCTTTTTGAACGCGGCCCGTCTCTGGCGTGTGAGAGAGGCTTGTAAATCGTCATCATCGACAAAGGATACGTTCTCGCGGCTCTCCCATTTTCGGGGAGCCGGCACGGGCTCTCCGTTGCTGGCATCGACATCCATAGCCCCGTTCTGTGTCGACTCAGTTGTAGGAAAGATATCATCTTCGTCAATCACTCTCTGTCTGGTTGTCTTGGCCTTCTTCTTCTTCGGCTTCTTGATCTTAATCTCGCTCACGTCCATGTAATCAGAAACCGGAGTCGTCTCGATTGCACCAAGATCGAGGCTGACAAGATTCTGCTTGAGCTTGTCAGATACCTCTTGTCGCTTAGCCTCTCGTTCTTCGACTGTAAACCCTTGAGCGTCAAGCGTGAAGCGTTTCCGCTTCTTGCCTTCAATCTCTTCGTCATACTGAGCGAGTATTCCGGTGTTCTCTTCGGTGGGATCGTAGACGGGTTTCCGCTTTTTCAATTCCAGCCTCTCCGCCACCTTCTCCTTTTCCCTCAGATTGAGGTTCTCCAGTTCATCGCCCTCCTCCTCGTTCTCATCGATAGTCGTATCTTTGAGCGTAAGAATGTGTTCTTCTCCTTCTTCAAAATCGCCCACCTCGTGCCCAACTTTCAGCCCAGCCAGATCCGCCGTGGCGTATTCCGCAGCACGTTCACGTTCCTCTAGTTCTTGAGCGAGTTTGAGGGCGCGTTCCTTTTCGATCTTCTTCTGTCGCTTCTTCGCCTGCAGCAACCAGCTCTTCGTATCCATATCCACATCGCCAGACTCTCCTAGTGTAGGGCCTTCGAGCATTCGATCGCGTTGAGCAGCGTCACGAGCCCTCTTGATCGCAGCATTTTTAGCCTCTCGTCTCCGCTTCGCCTCGGCCTCATCTTGAAGTTGCTTCCAGTTCTCCGAGGCAAGCGCTTGTCGCGATTCAAGAGTGCTTCCGGGTTCATCTTCTTCGGATGCAGAGCCCTCTCTTGTTTCTTTAAACACCGGACCGGAGGTGGCGTCAGCACCAGGGACGGGGAGGGGTTTGAGCCCAAGGGCAACTCGGATTTTATTGTTCTGCTCAATGGAAAGAGCGTCCGCCATCTTGGGCGATTGAAAAACCAAGTTGAATCTGAGTCGACCAGTGGAAGCGTGTTGGTGATATCAGGTCTCGCAGATTGGCGTGGATGGTCGGCTTCACTGTTGATAGATTGCCTCCATCTCAGGCCTTGAGTTCCATTGCCATTACATAATCGCGTCCAGTCTCGGTAAGGCTTAGCGCACCAGAACCTTAGCGCGCACTTGGCGCCAACATAAAAAGCCGGATTTTTTTCAAGGCCTCCATTTTCTTTTTCTTTTTTTCTTCACCAATTGAACATACACGGATCTGTGTCCAGCGATCCTGAGCATGGAGCTGTTCCTCTTCACGGAGGAACTGCCTCTGTGTCTCGGTTGATTGCTGGACAGTTCGACGACTTACGGAGCCTTCCCCTCGTGGATGGTTTTTATTTCCGGTCGACAGATCTCAGATAAAATGCTGGCATCAGGTATCACTTGGTCTTGAGCTCCCTTTTCTCTTACGGGAATTGGTGAGCTCGGCTGGAGGGCCTGGTAGCCAGCGGCGTCATATTCCTGATCCCTTCACCGATTTGGCCGTCGGCTTGTGAGGTTGGGGAAAAACCATGACTAGCCAACATACCTTTACCTACCTATCTATCTTGCAGTAGTAGGATCTGTGTAAATTGAATGGACTACAAGCGGTAGTCTCGTAGATGCCTACGAACCTGCCACGGCCTGGATCGTATATCGTGACGTACTCTACCCTCTGCCAATTCTAGACACTTGCTGGTTGAAGCATTTGCGGATTCTACATCGGATTCTACATTCACATACATACATTCGTCGCATTATCGGCATCTGGATTTACAAAAGCTTCAGATGTCCTGTTACTTGATCCACCACGCTTCTGGGCCCCAAAACTCCGAGTACCGTCCTGCTTCCGCTGGCGATCTGTGTCCGTCCAGCATCCTGGATCACGCGAGCGCAGAGACCCAAGCTGATCGCCTGCGCTTGCAGCAACTGTAATTCCTCCTCGGACTTTGTCTGCAAGGCGATCTTCGCTTGTCCCTGTCGTTCCCATCTCCGCAGGATAGGTGATTGCGGGTTATGCGCAATGAGGTATTTGTAGCAGGCGAGCGTTGCATGCGAGCACTGAGCGGCGATTTTGCCTATGTTAAGCGTATCGTGTCAGCTGTATTCATTCCCACGACTCACGCGCTGAATCTTGAAAACCAGCCTAGGCAGGGGAGCACAATGGAAGGATTTACCCTTGGTCATGCCCAGATCCGTCCTCACAACGAGCACAAGCTTCACTTCCTCGGTGTTATTGTCGAAATTTGCCAGCTCGCCTCCATCGCCTTCCTCCTCGCTATCATCTTCGTAGTCTTCGTAGTCTTCATCCTCTTCGTCGGAGGAATGCTGCGGGACCTTCACATTGTAGCTGTTGGGCCAGCCTTCCTTCTCTTTGGCCGAGGAAAATAGTCCCAATGAGGCGCCCTGTCCAATAAAGTAACCGGTGATGCCAGCGACGATAGCTGTAGCTATCACGTATGCTGTGGTTGAAGGAGGAATGCGATCTAACTCAGCCATTTTTGTTGGAAAGGGTAAGGTGAGAGAAGCTGTAGTGGAATTTTCGATCAGCGTTCTAGCTGGTCTTGGTGGTAAATTAAAGGTCCGATCTGAGCTCGGGCAGCCGCAACAGCTGCTTGTCAATATTAATCAGTCGACTACTTCACACCTTCAAAAGTCGTCACATTTTTAATGAATCCATCCCACGGTCTAAAGGTATGATAATGAACTTCTCTTGCCAAAATTTCATTTAAAGCAAATAATAATAGATCAATGACATCTATTTTTCCCTAATCAGCTCTAACCCCCGAGCATACCATGAAGCAAGCTAGAGGCTATAGAAATGCACTAACAAGATCCAAAGCAGCATAACCAAGTTTATAATTGATCAAAGGATACCGCTATTGCATTATATATACATTCCCGACCGTGCTGATCTTAGAGAACAATATCACTGTCATCTTCTAGTTAGGGCGATTTGCAGGAGCTCCTGTGTTGCCCATTCGACGGCTCCTGTTTCGGCATTAGCTTGAGGAAAACAATGGTGAGAAAAGGACGAATTGAGACATACATCATGGTTCGGCTAGCAAAGCTGATGAAGATCATGAAGAGCCAGCTTGGGATAACGCTGAAACCGTAGATGACATAGCCCACGGGAACAAGAAGGTTGTTCTGGGCTAGCCAGCCGTCCGTTGGGTGGAGGGCGCCTTCGTAAGCGGGTTCCTTCTCGTAGGTCTTCTCGGAATGAATCTTGTAGATGTCCTGGGCCGTCACAGTGGTTGTGTTCAGATACACGATGTGGAGAGGTGTGGCAGCACGACCCCCGCCAAGTTGAGCCTGAGGAACCTGGAAGTACCAAACGGAGGGAGCGCCTGCAGACCATGTGGAGCAGAGGAGCTGGTTCGATTCGCAGTTCAGATAACCAAGGTTAGGGGAGGTAGGGTCTGCGGAGAACAGGAGGCGAGATTCCTGGAAAGTAAAGATAATCAGGGATATTTTCTTTGGGTGGTCGCATCTTCCACTTCACCTCTCTGGAGGTCCTTACATTAAAAGCTTTGTCCGCGTTTCCGCAACGACCGAAACATGTCTTGTTACCACCAGTAATGTACAGAAGCCAGTCTTCGGGCTCGGAAGATGGCTCCAAGATAGACTGCCAGTTGCTTGTGTTAAAAGGGGTGACCGTGACAGCCTTCTGTTGGACCTTCTGTTCGACCACTTTGTCGACAGTAGGAACGACAGGAGTCGCAGTCGGCAGGTAAGACTTGGCCTTGTTGAACCATCCCTGAACTCGATCCGCAAGGGGGACCTGCTCTTGCGCCACAGCAAGGGCTGGGAGGATAACGAGAGCTTGAGTGAATCGCATGGTGCAGCTAGCAGTAATGACGCGTGTCAGCAACAGTCGGAAGAGGTGCTATCTAGCTAGACAGCATATCTATATTGAAATGAAACGAACCTGAACTGGTTACAATGACGATAAGCGCACTTTGGGATTGAATGAACGATCTGAAAGGCCAAAGTACGGACAGCAGGTAGCTAGGAAGGCAGGCTCCTGAGTTGTGGAAGAAGTGAAACAGCCACGATGGATGAAAGTGACTTAGTCTCCGCGATTGGCGACAGCTGGCCTGAGCGTCGGGAGCCGACTTATCAATAATGTTATCGGGGGAGCAGCTTTCCGGAGCAGTTAAGTGGATGGTTCTAAAGCGCAAATGACCTGATTTTATTGATGAAAGGCCTAATGGCATCATTTATCGTGTCGGATGCAAAGTCCACGCAACTGGAAAAAGATGCCTCTACATCACTGCCAGTACTCCTTTGTGTGTTTGTTTATATGGTGTCCTAGGGGGTGCCATTGATTATGTCAGCCATTATATACTTCGTTTCTTTCGACCCTTAGGTACCGACAAGATCGTCTGTTTGAAGTTCCTGGCTTTCTCAAATTTCGGCTTTAGTAAGAGTTTGAGACAGTATTGAATTTCAACACAGGAGTTGCTCGGTACCTAGGTTAGATTGCCAGGAAAGGCTCCAGATCGAAGGACTCGAGATGTTCTCCATTGTACCTCATGATTTCTTCGATGTTTTGATTCTGCTGAGCAGATGTCGATTGGCCGTGGCTTCCAAAAATGGCAGAGTTCAATCCATATAGCAGCTTCTCCTTATATTCTCACAGTAGAACTGCATTGCCTCGTCCTCACAAAATCTCTGTGTTTCTCAGAGGTGCCTTCCAGCCATTGACATTGTATCACAGACTCATAGTTGTTATCAGACACATCCTGTATCCACCACAAAGCCAAAGTATTGAGCCGCAGCAGATTATCATCTATCGATCCATCGACAAGTACGGAGATGTGGTGTCGTCTCATTCCCACTTCAACCCAGATGGCCTGGTGGCTCATGGTAACGACCTTGATGGGCCACAGCCTTGGTGCTGCGCTAGGAAGAAGAGCGAACTCTTTGATTCATCGCGGTGAGTAGCTTCGTCAATACCGATCAGATATATTGCCCATGCTTCATGAAGCTCATGAGCATGCTCAAGCAGCTTCAACTCTATTGAACGAGGCTCCTTCACAAGAGTCGCGCAACACTACAAATACCCGGTTATTCCCAGGCGACTTTCCTATCTGCACCGATTTCAATGGACCAATAGCACCGTTTTGTCTCCCTAAGGATCGTGCAGATGTTATAGTTGACGCGACGTACTATGTCACATGGAATGCCGACTTCTACCCTCTGAACGCGTCGATCACAATCGAGCTGAGATACTCGAACTCTTCTCAGGGAGACTCGGCATTCACATCTGAAAAGACTGATAATAGTTACGGTTATATTCCGCTTCATATGCAGAAGGAATGGCTCCAAGGAAAGTCATACAATGCTCTGACACTCTACATCATCGAGCTGGATCCTACATCGGGTAGCCGAGCTAGTGCCCGGGAAGGCCCAACTGTCATACTTCATTCTAGGCCGATTGAACACTACAAGCCTTCTCCTCAGATACCCTTTAACAGGACAGCTCTTTATATCGGACTTCCAGTAAGCCTTGGTGTTGTCATTGCTGTTGTTGCGGGCCTGGCCTTTGGCATGCGTAAAAGCAGGAGGCTTGGACTGAGAGACGTCGTGAGTACCCGAGGAAGGGGCTATGGAATCGGGAAATCCAAGAACCAACGCCTTGGGAACAAAAGGGAGAGTAATGGGCCAGATTCTCTTGCAGCCTTAAATAAGTACGCAGAGGATCTCGGTGAAGGCTTCTCCGAATTCGAGGGTTCAGAGAAATCTCACGGACTCGAGCGCAGCGGGAGCTTTGCGTGCAGACAAGAGGTATCGAGGTTGAAGACATGGAGCAGTTGATGGGGGCCTCGAATTCTCTGTGTTCGCCTTGTGTGGGGGGCCATTGGGTAGCAAGAGGTGTGATCTCTTCACTTACCTTCTTCTCTACCATTCGGGGGCGAAAAGATTTATTCATTCTGATGCCTCGTGTTAGTTAACAAGGGATTCAGGCTCGAAAGATTGATCGAGCGATGGTTGACGTATTTTTACGGGGCAAGGCTGATTCTGTCGTTGTGTTGCTTGAACGGGCGATTATTGTACGCCAGGACGGAGTACTGTCTCTTCATTCTGCTCAGCATGCGCATCTGCAAGGACAGCGAGAAATCCAACTATTTACGACAAAAAGGGTTTCAGACGGTCATAGGCTTACCACTGAGAATGTAGAACAATGACACAAACAGGAAGAAAATATGTTGATTTCACGATACATGAAACAAATGCTGTTGAATCCCTCGGTAGTACTCCGTAGGGCGGTTTCAGACAGTATTTAGTATCAAGTGTCCTCTGACGTCGATGTCACAGTGTGCAGACTACAGCCGCGAATGACACTGGGACCTGACACACTAGGTATTATCAACTCGGTATCTAGGAGGGAGGATAATAACTACCTTATGAATAAGAGGCTCTGTACGGTATACGCCGAGGTCCTGAATCTCTGTGATTACCAGTTATGTCTCTTCTAGACTTGTTGTCCTGAATGGATTTTTCGATGCTCGGTCAGAATGAATAATTCCTGTAATTTTGTTCGCTCACAGCCGAAGCCCTCCTATCATTATCAGTTCAAATTACCTGGGCCGATGTCGGTTCCAAGTTAGTCTAGATACCTAAGGTCTACACTCTTCAAAAATTTCCTTTTCACACACAGAAAATCAAACACACGATGCTAACTCAATATGAGAATAACTTCTACAGAATAGATGACCCGTCACTTCAGTTAAGAGACAAGTGGCGACATACGTACATTGGCTTGCCTCGCATGTAGCTTGTCGATAGCTGATTTGCAAGCAATAATAATATCACCAAGTAATGAGTAATTAACTGGAGAAAGATCTTCGAATGATGGAGCAATTAGGATTCCGGTTGCGCTGGGAGAAGCAGAAATCAGAATAGCATTGGCCTGGCGGCGGAGATCCCCACACATGCCCATATCCAGAATCTCAAATAACCGCAGAGAGCATACAGTTTTTGTTCAAGTGCCTCGAAGCTCGGCGTGTGAAATTTTCTTCGTTGCCGCTCAAAGTGCCCAGCGAGTCCGCTTCCCCCTCTCCGTCCGAGTCATAGTCATTCTTTTCAGACCGCCCGCCTTCATAAACTCCACCCACTTTTTCTCTCTTCCAGCCTATGACTCTTTCCTGCTTCTCTCTGTGACTCCTACTACACATATAAACTCTGAAATTCTTTGAACATCGCCAGTGTCAGTTCTTGAATTCTAATCCACATGCTGTCAATTGTCACCTAACCTTTCGATTCATCATACAGTTAGCTTCGTTCACTCCGACATTGTAATAGAAATCACCCCGCTATCAATTTACAAAATGTGCCCCGGTGCAGACAATGAGCCCAATGGGCACACCAACGGCGCCAACGGCCAAGCCAATGGCACAGGTATTTTCACCTGGACGCCGAAAAATCATATCTGATCCAAGACTAAGCTCCCTCCTCTCTAGATGCTCATCCCGGCTTCACTGCCGTTGAGACCCGTCAGAACCCTCACCCTTCGGCTTCTCGCAACCCTTACGGCCACAACGTCGGCGTGACCGACTTCCTGAGCAATGTCTCTCGTTTCAAGATCATTGAGAGTACGCTTCGTGAAGGTGAACAGTTCGCCAACGCCTTCTTTGACACCGAAAAGAAGATTGAGATCGCCAAGGCTCTGGATGACTTTGGTGTCGACTACGTGAGTCATAGCCAGCAGTAGTCAACATGTTGCTGGGAGACATGCATTAACCAAGATATGCAATTTAGATTGAGCTCACCAGTCCCTGTGCTTCTGAGCAGTCAAGAAAGGACTGCGAGGCTATCTGCAAGCTTGGCCTGAAGGCCAAGGTACGTTCGCTACCGTGGCCCCGACCTCACTCGCATTAGTCCTAACGGCTCATTTCCACAGATCCTCACACACATCAGATGTCACATGGATGACGCCAGAGTTGCTGTCGAGACTGGTGTTGACGGAGTGTAAGTCGGCCTACAATTATTGGCAATCATTGCTGGATTCTCACTGTTGTTCCAGTGACGTCGTTATCGGAACCTCGTCCTATCTCCGTGAGCACTCCCATGGCAAGGACATGACCTATATCAAGAACACCGCCATTGAAGTCATCGAATTCGTCAAGTCCAAGGGCATTGAGATCCGGTTCTCTAGCGAGGACTCGTTCCGTTCTGACCTCGTTGACCTCCTGTCCATTTACTCCGCTGTCGACAAGGTTGGCGTTAACCGTGTTGGTATCGCCGACACTGTTGGTTGCGCTTCTCCGCGCCAGGTTTACGAACTCGTCCGTGTCTTGAGAGGTGTTGTTAGCTGTGACATTGAAACTCACTTCCACAATGACACTGGCTGTGCCATCGCCAACGCTTACTGTGCCTTGGAGGCTGGTGCCACTCACATCGATACCTCTGTCCTTGGTATTGGTGAGCGTAACGGTATCACTCCCCTTGGTGGTCTCATGGCCCGTATGATGGTCGCCGACCGCGAGTACGTCAAGAGCAAGTACAAGCTCGAGAAGCTCAAGGACATTGAGGATCTTGTTGCCGCTGCTGTTGAAGTCAACATTCCCTTCAACAACTACATCACTGGTTTCTGCGCTTTCACCCACAAGGCCGGTATCCACGCCAAGGCCATCCTCAACAACCCCAGCACATACGAGATTATCAACCCTGCCGATTTCGGCATGACCAGATACGTTCACTTTGCTTCGCGCTTGACGGGCTGGAACGCTATCAAGTCTCGTGCTCAGCAGCTCAAAATCGAGATGACTGACGCTCAGTACAAGGAGTGCACCGCCAAGATCAAGGCTCTTGCTGATATCCGTCCCATTGCTGTTGATGACGCTGACAGCATCATCCGCGCCTACTACCGCAACCTCAAGTCGGGCGAGAACAAGCCCCTCCTTGACCTCACAGCTGAAGAGCAAGCTCAATTCGCTGCCAAGGAGAAGGAGCTTGCTGGCTCAGGTGTTATTGCTTAAGCAATACACCGTTGTATTCTTCGTTGTTCGATTTCCATCTTTCTTGGTTGGATCGACTTGTTCATTTGTTTAGAATTTTGACCATCATTTTTTCTCAGCGTTTCACAACAAGGAAGCTGTGGATTTCCTCCCGTCATGATCTGATGTTGTCTTTCTTGTTTGGTATGTCACGGTATGTCTTGGGATGTTCATCTTTATGCGGGGTTTTCAAAAGTCTTCCTTTGTCCCTCAAAAAAAGGAGAGATTGGTGTTAAGGAGAGCGTTGATTCTCTCTATGCTGTATATAGCTAGCAGGCCTTTCCAAGGTCGAATGCATGATCATTTCTAGTGTCATCCTTCTGTTGATACCTTAGTAACCTTGTCAAGCTACGAGGTAGTTAGACAAGACCCTCACTGTAGTCATGGAAGTGCTGTTTCATGTTCATGCTCTCCTATTGGGAATACCTAGGTTACCATTTGCCACGCAGCTTTCCACAGTCTGCAGAGGGGCAGAGGATCTGAGATCGATCGCAGTTTCTCGGTCTGATGTGATGCTTGAGGTTGCACTTGGCATTAACATGTGGAAAGTGAACCGAGGCAGCTTCGACTGGCGCTCTTTTTAGTCTCCGCGGTCAACTTCCTAGAACGTCCAGAATCTCCGATTTACCCACGCTCTCCTCCAGTTAATCCACCATCGTCATCACTTACCTGGAGGTTATCTATCCTCATCCATTCTCTTCTGGTTCCTAAAAAGTCTGAAAATGGCTTCCTCGGTTCTTCCCGTTGCTTTGCAGAACAAACTCCTTGGCTACAGCAGGGCTCCCAATCTGCAGTTGGCGGCCCTGAACTTCGACCTGTAAGTGGAGGAATCAACCTATCATTCCACCCCCAGTCCCCCGCCCTTAGGGAAGATCATGGAGCGATCGTTTTGAGCATTGACGCCGGAACTCTAACGTGGTGGATTCATGAACTACAGTCTTCGAAATATCATCTTTATGCTTTTCCTATTTCGTTATGTTCGCAAGACCTATTACTCTCTCCGCGGTTATGGCATCATTGGCAGCATCCGTAATGTCTACGCTTCAATCCGGCTGTTCTTCTATTCCGTTTTCCTGCGTACACCCGGCGTACGTGGCCAGGTCGACAAGCAGGTCTCAACGGCGATTGAGAATCTCGAGAACAAACTAGTAGCCAGTGGCCCCGGTGTCACTAGGTATCTGACTCTGCCCAAGGAAGGATGGACGCCCGAGCAGATTCGCGCCGAACTCGATAAGCTGGCGAACATGGAGCATACCCGCTGGGAGGATGGACGAGTTAGTGGAGCTGTCTACCATGGTGGCCAGGACCTGTTGAAGCTTCAGGCGGAGGCCTTTGGGCAGTTTGGCGTCGCAAACCCCATCCACCCAGATGTTTTCCCCGGTGTTCGCAAAATGGAGGCTGAAGTGGTTGCCATGGTAAGTCTGCGCCGTCGTTTAGGCGAATTGCTTGTCTAATATGGAGTATTTGTAGGTCCTCGCGTTGTTCAATGCTCCTTCGGATGGCGCCGGTGTCACTACTAGCGGAGGTACCGAAAGTATTCTTATGGCCTGCTTGGCGGCTAGGCAGAAGGCATTCACGGAACGGGGTGTAAAGGAACCTGAGATGTGAGTCTTGTATTATGCCTCTGACTGCTGACTGGATCTGAGTTGCTAACATTCACTGCAGGATTATTCCTGATACGGCGCATGCTGCCTTCTACAAGGCTTGCAATTATTTTGGAATCAAGCTTCATCGTGTTCCTTGCCCAGCTCCAGGGTACAAGGTTGATATTGCTGCTGTGCGGCGCCTAATCAATCCCAATACTGTTCTTCTGGTTGGCTCCGCACCCAACTTCCCTCATGGCATTGTTGATGATATCCCTGCTCTATCCCGACTTGCGACTACATACAAGATTCCTCTTCATGTCGACTGTTGTCTGGGCTCCTTCGTCATTGCATTCCTCAAGAAGGCCGGCTTTCCCTCCCCTTATGAGGAAGAAGGAGGGTTCGATTTCCGCCTTCCGGGTGTAACTAGTATTAGTGTGGACACGCACAAATACGGTTTCGCACCCAAAGGCAATTCCGTGCTCCTTTACCGCAACAAGGCGTACCGCAGCTATCAGTACTTTATTTACCCTGATTGGTCCGGTGGTGTGTATGCATCTCCCTCCGTGGCAGGATCCCGGCCAGGTGCTCTGATCGCAGGGTGCTGGACCAGTCTGATGAGCGTTGGTGAGTCTGGCTACATCAACAGCTGCCTTGAAATCATGGGCGCGGCGAAGAAGTTTGAAGCATCAATCAAAGAACATCCAGTATTGTCGAAGAATCTTGGGGTCGTCGGGAAGCCCATGGTCAGCGTGGTCGCGTTCCAGAGCCAAAATGGTGCCATCGATATCTACGACGTTGCCGACGGTCTGTCAGCGAAAGGCTGGCACCTAAATGCTCTCCAGTCCCCCCCTGCAATCCACGTGGCATTCACAATTCCGACAGCGGCTGCAGTCGAGAAGTTGACCACTGACTTGGTCGAGGCGGTGGAGAAAGAGCTAGAGAAGGCTGAGGAGAGGAAGCGCCAAGGCAAGTCGTATGTTCTCAAGCGTGGCGACACATCCGCACTGTATGGTGTTGCTGGCAGCATTCCCGATAAGAGCATTGTCAGCCGTCTTGCGGAAGGCTTCTTGGACACCTTGTATAAAGCCTAGACGATTCGTGCTTGATTGCACGGTTCCCATGGTTTTCGGAAGTCGCTCGAGACGTTGAATCGTTTCCTCACCTGTAAAGTTGTCAATCCTTTTAGATATTGGGTTTCCGATTGAATGATAAGCTACGGCAGCGGCGTTTAAGGCGTTCAAGCAGGTTACCGTTTATACACAATATAATCGAACAAATTGTTCATTCTCATCGGACCCTCTTAGACAACACCAAGACAATAAAAAAAAGATTTTGACATCCTGGTATAACAATGCTGGCAAAAGATATGTATAATACAATGAATCGTTGAAAAGGACGATACAGGTTGGGCTGGCCATGCGGACGAGCATGGGTAGGTGTGAGAGGAAGTCGAGATGAGATATATTGCGTTTCTTTAGCAGCAAAGGGCGTTGAAACATCAGCACAGTAGGCAATGGAGCTTCCATGCCAGAATGATTGCCTCGAAGATGTTGAAAACCACTCGTCTCAGAGGCGTCCACATATGTGAAGGAAATCGGTACCCTCAGATGGAACGATCAAAGGACTCCAGCCCGGCTCACATGGCCGATAAATAAGAGCAAGAAATGCGTAGCAAGACTCGCATTCTATGCTGACCTATTCTCACTCCATTCTTCATTCGATGCCTTCTCGACATAGTATCCCGGATCCGGTCTCCGCTCAGCACGAACTTCTTCCTTCGTGAGCCGCCTGTCGACTTCTTGGACCTCCACAAGTTCCTTGACCTTCATGATTTGACCAGCTACCGATGACGATACTGGGTGGAAGACCGTCGCCATGCGCTTTTTGAGCCCGAGGGCCTTGAGAACATCTGTTGTTCGTCGGGGGAGACCGATGGCGGAGCGGAGGAGGGTGACGCGGAAGTAGCTCATGTTGATGGGTATATGGGTTTCCTCGTCGAGTCTTCCGTTTTGGAGTGTTTGGAAGGTGGAATTGGCTTTTGTCTGTTGTCTTTGCTTGTAGTTGCGGTGCTCGGAGATGGAGGGCGAGTGACTGCAGTAACAATGGCCTCGCGGAATCTTCTCTCAACGAAAGCCCGAACAATTCAGGATTCACGATGAATAGTTTATGCGACGAACGAACAAGGTCTTGAAATTGGCATAAAGAGTCTTATGCTCGACGTCCGATCGCTCAATTATCTCGATTTGCTTGAGATCTTCGTCCGCAAAATCGCGGGATTTTTGCTTGCTGATACGGTCGGTCAGCCAGGCGGAGAGTCACGTGCATTCTGTTCTGCCAGTATCTCAAAGCGGCGGGCGGGTGGAATTTACGGGGAAGCTTGACACTGTAGCTTAGGTGTACTCCGTCATTTGTGTTCATCGAATCACGGTATCTTGCTCATGGGCAGCTGCTGGGAATTGCGTCCAGCAATCTGCAAACTGGGTATGGAAATTGACATAGGAGCTGTCGGTTTCATAATCTAAGATTTGTCAGTCGAAACGGTCGACTTCCTTTCGAACAGACACCCTGTGATAGACAAGCTGCGCGCTTTATACTTCGCTACGAGTGTCTCGGGCGCTGCATTGGCTCTGTCTACGTTCTTATTGAACCCAGTTTTCTAAGGCTGCTCAGTCTCACATACTACAAGGCGACATCGAGTTCGACCCACGCACTGCTCTATCCTTCCAACGGCTCCCGCAGGAGCAAAACATCGTATAGGGAGCGCACTCTGCCTATCTCGATTAAGTATTTGGCACCATGGCGCGAGAAGGAGACTCAAACGGCACATTGGCCATGCCGCGGCTAGAAGAAATTCTGCGCCACCCAGAAGACCTGGATAAGATTGCTGGACTGAAAGCCGAATACTCGCGAAAGAAGGGAGCAGTTGACTCACAGCTCCGGGAAGGTCTCCGGCATCAATTGGAAACAGTCCAACGAAGTATCAATGCCTTGACCGAGGGCCAGCGACAGGTGGGGAAGACGAGAGACGAACTTCAGACTATAGACAAGCTGTGCGCGGAATCACAAACGAGCGTCGATGACTTTTCGCAGATCGACAAATTGGCCAAAGTACAGCGAAACTTCGAAGCAACCCTCATGATGAAGAAGGGCTTGGAGAACTTTGGTGCAGATCTTGCTGAGGTCGAGGAGCTTTTGCGAGAGGATGATGAGGACCTTGAGAACCAACCGAATTTGTTGCGGGTGCACATGCAGATCTCGCGATTGAGAGATTTCCGAGACGAGGCGATGGACCAGATTCGCAAGGCTCAGGACCCGAGCAGCGAAGAGACGCTGGCGGACTACTTCCAAGGCCTGGATTCCGTCATTGATTGGTTTGATGAGCATCTCGGAACCGCTTGTATGAATCTAATCCCGCTAGTACAGTCAGACAACCGGAGTATGGTTGTTCGGCTAGGTGTGATTGTCATGACTGAGGAGAAGAATGACGCGACGGTGCGCGCTCTTCAAGAGGCACAAAAGGATCATCAGGACCTGGCAGGCCGGTTCAAGTCCATGAACATCGGTCCTAAAACGGTTCGCGGCTACAAAGAGAAATTCTTGCAAGCAATCGAGCTCTATGCGGAGAACCAATTTCGGGAAACTAAGGAGGAGTTTTTGGGCGATCCTGAGAACCTGGACAAGAGCTTCAAGTGGTACTTCAACGACCTTTTTTCTGTTCAACAAGGCATGCAAGCGCTACTTCCGAAAAAGTGGAAGATTTACAAAACATATACAAATGTCTATCATCGAATGATGCATGATTTTCTCATTGAACTCATCAATGACCCTGAGTTGCCGGCAGACAACTTGCTTGCGATTCTTCACTGGAGCGAAAAGTATTACAAGAAAATGAAAAAGCTTGGCTGGAAGCAATCCGAGCTCCAGCCGAACATTCTTGACGACCGTGAGCCTGAGCTCATCCGACAGTGGCAAAACATCATCATCAAAGCTGTGGAGGAATGGATGGATCGTATCACCGAAACAGACAGGAAAGGACTCGTCGAGCGCATTCCCGATTCCCTTGACACCAACGCAGAAGGCTACTTCCGTACAAAGACCCTCCCAGATATGTGGCGTATGCTGCACGAGCAGATTGTGGCTTCCGGTGCTTCCTCTCGAACAGATGTCGTTGAGGGTATCATTGATGCCATGTTCCGAGTGCTTAAGAGTCGCCAAACCAACTGGCAGATACTCATTGACGAGGAATGTGGGAAGTACAAGGCGGTGGGCGGCGACCAACTCGAAGGCCTCCAGCTACTGCAGGATTGGCTCATTGCCGTTGCCAACGATCAGATCGCCTGTATTGACGACAATGACGAGTCAGGACAGCTGGGATACTTGAGCAGATTCAAGCGTGATTTCGAGCCATCCGTGGATCCGAACTATATGGCGTCACGAGCCATGCCTGAACTTGACGCGCTCCGGGACGGCTACGTGGACTTGAGTACATATTGTCTCACTCAGTTCGTCGAACTGATCTTTGCTGTCGACTTCCGCACCACTATTCCAGAATTCTTCACCCAAAAATGGTATGGTGACTTTGCCATCAAGCGAATCACCTCAACTTTTGAGGACTACATGACCGATTACGCTGCCGTTCTCCATCCTTCCCTGACCGACATTCTGGTCGAAGAGCTATCCGACGAACTCCTGGTCCGATATCTATCATCGGTCCGCAACAAGGGTGTCAAGTTCAAGCGGCACGCCGATCCGTACACCGACAAGTTCAAGGACGACGTCCTTACGGTCTTTGCTTTCTTTCAGAAGTACCCCGACTCATTTGCTTCAACGATCAAGCAGAAGTGGCGGCTGGTTGATTGGCTTCTCCGTTTGCTCGAAGCAGAGAAAGGTCCGGCTCTGGTTGCGGTCTACGAGGACTTCAAAACGGAATACTGGGATTTACAGCTGTCTTGGGTTGAAGCTGTGCTGAGAACGAGGGATGATTTCGAGAGAAGCATGATCAGCGCCATCAAAACAAAGGCGGCGGAATTGTCGATCGAGAGGGGAACAGAGACGCTCATGAGCCGCGTGCGGTGATGCTGTTGGTTTGCCAGGACTAAGTTGAAGGCATTGGAGGTGTTTGCTCTTTTCACATCCTATGGTGGCACTGTGACTTGTCATCTGGCATTGGATTTGTCGGGGAGATATCCTAATCAGCGAGGCGTTTTGGTGTCTTTTTTTGTTCGAGGGTAAATGCTTCGGGCACGGATTGTCAACTGTCTGTACGACAGGAGATTCTTCTAATGAGCATGCCGTGATCATAGTATATAAAGAGGCAATCCGAATACTCTAGATTTTAACGCCGCCCTCAACACTCCCATCACTGCTGCCAAGGTCATTAGATTCTTGGTTATCCTGGAGGCAAGCTTTGCCCTCAGCGATTAATTTTGGGTCCTTCGAAGATGTGAAATCCAGGCGCCTTTCTGCTACAACTCTGTATTTTTCTCCCAGACGTGCATTCACCCCACTATCGTCAGGATCAAGCTTCTTTGCGCCCATCTCACATATAGAGATTGTCTCTAGGGGGAAGTCCTGTGCCCAAACGAAAGGGAATGTGGCTACCCTCTTCGCAGATGACATTTTCTTCTTTTCTGGGGGCGAATTTTGCATTTCGCTGCTACTGCCATCTGTACTGGCGGAATTTGACCCACTTTCGGTACCAGTCCCGTTGTTAGCGATTTGATGCCTTTCTGTTTCCTTGAGGTGGGAGGTCAATGTAATGGCAGAAGATCGTGGTGTTGCCCTTTGGCTATCGAGGTAATAGTCTCGGTAGTGAGCAAGAATGTCCCGTGCATCGAAGGTGTGTTGATTGTTTCGGCGGTTACCGCTGTTTTCAGGGCCTGCTCCTCGCCGACGACCACGGACATAGATAGTATTCACTACCGTAGCATGAAGGAGAAGCGGTCGAACTTTGAGCTTAGACTTCGTTTGCACGGAGGCGACGACCGTGGTCGTGATGGGTTTGCGCGTTTTCGAATGTGCTTGTGCGGACTCGTCCGCCAAATCGACGGGCATTTCTTGAAGGAGAGCTGTATGATTCTCGATTGGGGCATCCGCATGAGACTGATGGCCTTGTGTTAGATTTGGTTCAGCTCGGTGTATTGTACCCGTTGCGTCGCCGGGGTCCGATCCTACTTCTTCGGGTGACTTCTGGGGCTCATTCTCGCCTGAGCCTGGCTCATTCTTGATATGTTCGCCCTGCAAGAACCCTGCTTCTAAGAACTTGTTCCGCAGCAGTACGCAAAAGGGATAGAGGCGAGACGTGGAATCCACAGGAGCAGCATGAAGGACGGTAGCCGCGCGCGCCCTTGGAAGCGCATGTAAGGATTCAAGAGAAATGGTCAATGGTTCGTAGGTGTCTCGTGAGACGATGGCGGAAGCAGAGTCCCCTTCATGCTCCAGTCGTCTTGACGAATGAGAGTCCTCACGCTCTCCCACTGCGCCTGTAAAGTCAGACTGATGTCGAGGCGTCGAACTCCTTTTCCGGTACCGTTTCGATTTCTTAGCAATCTCCTCTGCCTCATGCATCATGGATGCCAAGTCGAGTGAGTGAAAGAACTGGATTGCTTCTTCCAGCCGTTCTTTCGTAGGAAGACTCATCACTCCAAGCGTTAGATGGAGAGTGCCGATGGGACGCACCGCGCCATCAGGGATGAGCGGCCGTTCAGCAGAAACTTGCTTTTGTACGGAGCCATTATCATCTGAATGCGAAACCGACGGAATGGCAGTTTTGAATGTTGATAAAGATGATTCCAGCTGAGGTAGGGAGATGTCGTTCACCAGCGGAAGGCACAGAAAATGTGTCAGAGGAGGCCTCTTTTCCCTCTTAGGAAAGTTCCGTAATGCTCCATCTCTCTTCTTCTCGGACATTTTCCAATAATGAAGACGGAAAAAGGGGTTTGGTGATGGTTGAAGCAGAGGCCTGAAAGGCCTGAGGGTTTTCATGTGTGATAAGTTTATGCCACTTGAGGACAGTAAAATGTCACATCAAAACTTGCCATAGCCAAAATATGCCCCAGAAACGAGAAAAGATAATAATAAACGATCAGATGCTACCTCAATGACTAGGAATAGACATAATATCAGAGTTATCAGCAGCTCGAAGAACATAGAGATACGGAGAAGAGGAAGCTTAAGTAGAGCAATCCACGGCTAAGCTCCATCGAGGAAAGACTATGACATATGACGCGCATCTTCGTTCTCCTCCGCATTTCCTTCTCCATCCTCTCTGTTCGGCACCCACGCTCCCTCTTTGATAGTCGATTGAAGGTCAGCTATATAGCTCGAAAATCACCCAAAATGCTTTCGCGCATCTCTCGATCTGCTCTCTCCTCCGCCACCCGTTCTTCTTTCCGTGTCAGCCGAATCCCAGCAACGGCGCCCGCAGCCATCCATCTTCAACCCCGATCGAACAGCGTCAGCAGCTCATCCCAGGCGTCCCGTCGAGGATTCCAATCCACCAGTTGCATCCGCAAGGGCATCTTCCCTGATTCCTCAGACCCTCCCGCCCCCAACCCGCAATCGAATAATCTCGCCGGCGCGTCCACCCACGTCACGGAACCCTCGCCATTGACTGACTCGCAGTATCACGAATATGCGGAGCACTATCTCAATGTGATTCAGAATGAGGTGGAGAAGGCGCAGGAGGAGGGATCTGATATCGAGGCAGAGTATAGTGTGCGTATTGCGGGCCTGCCTGCTTCCAGATTTCTTCTTTTCCCTTTTCTGTCCGAGGCAACTAATGCCGCCCTTATGATTTGCAAGGTATCTTTGGCTAACTCACGGTTCGATACGACCCCAATTCTAGGCTGGCGTAATGAACATCATCGTTCCCGGTGTAGGAACCTACGTCCTGAACAAGCAGCCTCCCAACAAGCAGATCTGGCTCAGCTCGCCAATGTCCGGCCCTAAGCGGTACGACTGGGTCGTCGAAGGCGACCAAATGCATGAAAAGCAGGATACACGTCCCTTCGCCAATGGACAATGGATCTACCTCCGCGACGGATCCAATCTAACGGATCTGTTGAATGCGGAGCTGGCGTTGAATATTGCAAAAGATATTTACAGCGAAATTGACGGATAATTGGTTAGGTGGCCAAGAAGGAGTATGTGGATAAACAGGTGATTTTCAAGATTACCATTTTACAGCCTATACAAAGAGGTTACGGTGTATGATATGGAGATCTTGTTCAACAATTCGGTTTCCTCCATGGGAACGATGTAAAGACCCGCATCAAGTGCATCTTCACTTGTTGCGCAGATATAACAATCGTGAATCGAAAGGTCAACAGTATAATGATCTTCTTTTCTCCCAAATCCAGATTTCATCACAACCAAGACGCCCATATTACCAAATTCGACGGGATTTAGGTCAAGCTTTATCATGACCACGGTCGGATCTAGCCGTGATGTCCCTTTGCCTCAAGGCAAAGTGTCCCGACAGTCACGAAGACACTGTAGTCAACAGTGGATTCGCTCGCAGTATGCGCATATGCATTGACTTGGATACGAAAGAACCATGAAGGCCCAAGCGACTGCAGTCGTGGCGTGATTCCTATATCCTCTATCAACGGACGAGCATCGTTCCTCTGAGGGTGGTCGTGTCACTTCGGTAAGTGAAGTCCATGCTGCCATTAACTCGTGCGGCGTTTCAGTAATCGGCACGAGAGGGCCCACTTGAATATATCTCCTGTCCCTGGCTGATTTACGCTTGCACGGAAACTGCACCTGGTGCCGGCTGATTACCATCTTTGGGAAGATCAGACTGCAAGTAGAAACCATTGTCAGCGATCCATGTTCAGCGATTCTGAGGGATTTATAATTCAGTCGAGGAAGAGACTGGCAAGCATACCACGTCAAAGATAACCCGAATCATCAAGCTGCAACTAGGGCAAACAGCAATATCTTCGCCGTCGCGCAAGTCATCAATTGCGATTTCGAATCTGTCGCCACAGGGGCACGGGTAATGATATATCTGGAGATTTGGGTCGAAGGTCATGTCTTCAATCTCGATTTCGTCGTAGATGGAAAGAGCTTCGTCGGCCATGTTGGGCGATCGTGTCTTCTTGTGTGCGCTGGCGAGTTCAATTATGATACCTCTATTGTGATGAGAAAATACAAAGCAGCTCACTTGGATTGATCTTTATCGCCAGAAAACTTTTAGTGGGACAATCATGTGACTGCGGGGATTCAGATAAGGACCAAAGTCACGACTCCGCAACTGACGCGGGACTCACGGGAGATTAGGGGCTGTCGCAAGTTTGAAAGAATGACATTGTGTTCTTCATGAGCGAGGGTATCTCCATACAAGAATATTAGTAAAAATACTTCTAGCCACTTAGTCTCTGAATGTCCAACTTCACCGCCTCAATCTCTTTTATGAGAGATCCGTACCGTCGGGCGATCTCTCGCATCGGGCAAGACTGAAAATGCTGTTTATCGTTACTGGCAAAGGGCCCATGAGCCTCAGCAGAGTCCACACCTTCGTAGGCTTTCAGCTCCTCAAGAACGTTTCCTTGTTTCTCTTCCAGCCGTTCACGAGTCTCCCGGAGATGCTGGCGGTATCGGTCAAGGGCAGTAACAACCTCGGGGGTATAGATTGTCGCCGCAGTGTCTAATTTCATTATACTTTCGAGGATCGTGAGTTTTAAGGGACCTTGACATCATGCGGAGTAATCTTTTGATCAGACATACCTGAGTTTCGCTTCCACGCCCTGCGCAACCAGAGCAAGATGTTCAGCCTTGGCCTTGGTAGCCCTGGATAGCGCTCCGTGCTTAACGCGCTCAAGCAACACAACCGTCTGCTTAAGTATCTCAGCCCGTGTTGCCAGGACCTTTGCTGCTGTTATCGCCATCCGCGCCCGAGCAGCTGGTATTTGCGACAACTGTATCTGACGCAGATTTTGCAATCGCTCCCGGAGCTGTGATGCGAGAGGAGCCTGTGGTTTTGCCTTGGATGGGTTACGGCTCGTCCGAACACGAGCCCGTGTAGTCACTGCAGATGTATGCAGTATCGCAGGTGCAGACGGCGCGCAATCTGGGCTATTTCCGGCGTTCGCAATTGCTCGGAGGTCTTGAAGGGCGGACGACAAGGCGTTCGAAAATGGTATGACTAGTGCAGGAATGATGGAATAGAAGGCGTCAATGTCCGAAGCTAGGAGGGATAGAGGATGAGCATGTGCGTGTCCGCGATCGTCGCCATGCTCGAGTTCAAGCCGACTAGGGGACGATTCAAGGTAGAGGGTGATCACGGCGAGAGGGTCGCGATGCTGTTCAGGCTTTTAGTAAATTGACACATATCTCGAGTCAGATGAAGCTTATCCTGACATCATCCGGTAATCCACTGTCAGCGTCAAAAGCCAGCTCCTGGAGCGTCTGTTGCTTGATCTGTTTGGTTGCGCTTCGCACTCGACAACTTCTTAGTTCCTAGAAGCAGTAAAACCACGGGTCAAATCTGCATCATATTTGATTCTTGCACGGCCATTTTCGTCCACGCTTCCTATCAATGCTCAAGTCAAGTGGCGCCTTGAACGTACTTCCAGTACTGCTTTTCTGACTGGCTGCTCATCATTAGCTCGTGTCGAGCCATCGGCGTTGAGTAAATTGGTTGTCAAGTGTTGATAGAGTTTTCTAAATTGGGGATTATTTTCAAGGATGACTGGGTCGCAGGGTGGTATCATTTTCGAACTGGCTTGGAGTTGGATGTTCCCAAGAGGTGTAAACACAATCGCCTATCTTGCCGTGCTCCCGTGTTGCCGCTAGGCTGACCCGTGACTGCGGAGATATCTACGACTACAAGCCACAGGCCATAGCTGGGTCCAAGTAGAAAATCAGAACAAGTTCGGATATCGAGGCTTTTTCGCTTTCATTTTCACATTTCTTTCGTAATCATACATGTATCTGCTGCGCCGTAGATCTTTCCCAACGACTCCGGGCGGCGTCCTGCGAGCCCCGAGCACTCCCTCAGAGACGAATACGCTCGTGCCTTGGTTTCAAGCTTCCCCATTCAGAGCTCTATGGCCGACTTCAGAAATCTTGGAACTCTGCGAGGTAACAAACTGTGATAACAAATTGTTACCTCAACCAAGAACCACGGGACCACAAGTACGAGCACAAGAGTGGTATCATAGAAACAAGGTAACTGGGTAGAAGAAACTGCCATGGTGCTGACACTCGAAATATTCCAGCCGTCGCCACGTGAGCTGATCCTGAATTGTGGCTTTCGCCCCTTGGACCTGCGCAGACTCGCCCGACAGGAGAATGAAACAGTAAAACAATAAAAAGAAAAAACACAAGATTAGAACCCGGAAGACGAGAGTAGGATGGTTATGTACAAAGAGTCCAGAACTTGATGTCAAGGCCAGACTGTCTTCCAAGACGAAAACGATTCGCTAAAAAGGCATAACAGAATGATAAAGTCATGCGTTGAATCGCGGAAAATGCTGACGAGCAACTAGTCATGAAGTGCCCACAGAAGGGCGTCATGATGTTCACGCGAGTCGGAGCGGACAAATGATCTACTCTTCCTCGCTTTCTTCAGAATCGTCCTCTGAATCATCGCTACTTTCGTTCGCTTCCACAGACGGGAGTGGATCAGGAGAACGACCGCCACCGCCCTGGAAACGAGAGAGGTTGCTCTCGAGCATGTTAATCTGAGCCTCCTGCTCATACTTGCTCATCGGTTTGTTCTTCTTTGGCTTTGGGGGAGCAGCCACATTTGCTGCAGTGGGAGCGGTTATATCCTCCTCTTCTACGACATGCGGGGCGTTCTTCTTGACGAACTTTAGCAACATCAATAGAACCTCATTAGGAAGCTCATCGATGTCGAGTTCGATCTCCGTCTCTTGTGTACCCTAAAAGAGAACATTAGTCTCACGAACCATTTATGTTGAGGTGAAGGAGGAAGTTCAAACTCACTTTCAAAGCTGGAACGTTGCTTTGGATAATCCTAAGGGCTTCCTGCATCTTCTTGTCCGGAAGACTACTTATTCCATTCGAGATGATCTGCTTTTCGTGATAAGTCACGTAGCGCTGCTTTTCCGGCTTTGAGGTCTTGGAGGACGTCTTCTTGTCCTTCTTGCCCAAGGGGACGGTTCCGCTCTTCTTCGAATCCTTCTTTCCGGACTTGGACTTGCTAGGCTTTTTCGGTCCAGGTGGGGTCTTCTTCTTCTTCTGTGTAATGGCTTCAACTTGACGTGACATTTCAGCAATTTGCTTCTGCAGCATGCTTAACTTCTCATTGTCGTAGTCGCTATCTTCTTCCTCTTCTTCACTTTCTTCGGAGGAAGAACTAACGCTCTGGTGTTCTGGATGGGGTTCATGAGCCTCTAGATAACGTGTCTTTTGAGCCCACTTATTTTCGAATATCTCCTGGAATCTCTGTCCGGCCATGTATGTAGGATCTCCGGGAATGTTGAACTTGAAGCAGTTCTTGAATATTTGACGCATGTCAACTTCAAATTCCTTGGCATTCTCGTACTGGCCAGTCTTGAGTTTGGACTGGACAGTGGAAAGATCCATTGGCTTTTTGATAATGCTGTGATAAGTCGGGATGTTCAGTGCAACAGGATCCACAGGGAAGTAGAAGGGCGCGGCCCAGTTGTAGTGCTTGGGTTTGTGGAGCTCATCCAAGACTTCCTGACAGAATCGCAGTTCCCACTGGTACTTCTTCTTCTTGGGCTTGGTGGAATAAGGCAAATCGCGTTTGGGTGGATGAATCGAGCGCTTGGGACGGCCATCAGTATTGGTAGAGTCACGACGGATCAAAGGCAGGCCTTCTGGTCCAAGAGCAAAAGTCGTGGCTTGGGGGGAAGTGGCGGTCGGGCGAGCTGTGGACGTTCCAATGCTAGTGCGCGGTTCCCGATGGGCCGCTGAGGTTTTGGTAGAAACCTTTTTCGGCTTCTTCTCTTCAACCTCATCAGGCTTGGGTAGGTTCATCATTTGCTTCTCGAATGTGCCTTTGAGCTTCAATCCCTCTTGCGCCACCACGTGGTCGGGTCCATTGAAAGTAACTGCGTTTTGCACCATCAAATTGAAATCTTCCACGACGGCCTGAACAGCCCTGTACTCATTGTTCTTCAATTTGCGCTCGATCGTTCCAAGATCCATAGGATGCTTGATAATCTGCGGATAATGGGGGATGTTCATCTTGACTGGGTCAACAGGTTCGCGGTAGAAGCGAGCATCGTTCATGCGCTTCAAACTTTGAATACCTTTGAGAACGAATTTATGTTGGACCTTAGTCATGGCCGCCTCCCCATTCACAGTGGTGCGGGCAGGTGCTTCGGTCATAGGTGTTGGCAAATCAGGAAGTTTGACCTCAGCTGAGCCTTCATCTTCCAGTTTGGTACGTTTGGCAGCGGGCTCTTCATCAGCGTCTGCATCGCGCTCCCGGGATACCTTCATCGGGGACATCGGAGCATCTGGCGCGTCAGGCATGTCTTGGTCAATGGTCTGCAGACTCGGTGCAGTTGGCACCTTACTAGTAGCGTCATCACCGGGCATAGTATCCAGCTTCGCACTAGTAGAAGGATGGTGAGGCAGCTCGGTCTTCACGCCAGAATCTTGTCCATTGTTCTCCACCTTGGCATCGGATGACGAATCAGTCGGTGGCTTTGATACATCTTGCAATGCCTTCGTGTCTTGGGGTGTGGCCTGGTTTGTACTAACAGTTGAGCGTGTCTCTTGCGTCACATTCGCATTAGGAACGGATTCGACCCCGTTTGGCTCTTTGTTTGGTCCATCCGCAGGTAAGGAAGTAAGGGGTTTCTCTTCTTTCTCTGTTGCTGTCGTTGTCGATGGTGCAGGGACGTCCGCGGGCGGTTGAGGAGGTGACTTTGGGGGAGACACAGTGGAGCCGGCGCCGTTTGTCAACGATGGCTGATCAGTACCGTGGCCATTCACTGCGGCGGCCTTGTCATTTTCCTCGGCGTTGTTCGTACCATTGGTTGGCGCTGCTTCCGTCATATGATTCTGCGGGCTACTTATAGAAAATTAGCGCGCTCGTCTATGTATCAACGCGGAAGGACTCAGCATTGTAAAAACATACCTTGTGCGACCAATATCAGCAGAAGAGGCACCATTTGGCGACGGCGGCAGTTGAGGCTTGTCCTCCCTGACAACAGGAGGAGCCTCGGGAGGCGGCGTCGCCATTGAGGACAACAGTTATCAACCTTTCTTGGGGAGCCCGTAATACAAGGGTCTAACGGAGCAGGAAGTAGCTGTTCTCAGTTGGAGTTTAGATAGCGACAACAATAATGCACTGAATAGGTATTCTCTGCGCTAACACAGACTAAATGATTCGATTCGGTAACCCGTCAAGCAGAAGATCTGGTTAGATGATAGAAGACACAAGGAGAAGTGTTGTCTCTAGCGGTCGCAAAAAGTCGCGACGCTGAGAAGTGTTGCAGAAGATACAAAAACGAGGAAGATTAGCGCAAGTCGGTAGTGGAGAATGCGACAAGGAGGAATTTATATTGCCAAGAGGCGGTAACTGAGTAGTCACGTGGGCGGCAAATCAGTTTGACTAAGCTGGAGGCAAAGTCGTAGGAGAAACGGAGAGAGATGATAGAGATTAGCAAAGCGGATGACTTTGCGTCAACCAAGGGAGCAGTCAGAGGAGAAAAGCTGAGAATCAGGTGATCTTCATGCAAGAGTGTGCCTCCGTCAACGCCTGAGGTAAAAGGAAAGCGTTCAGCAGAATGGAGGTTAGGTCGATCTGAAGCTTGGTGTGCTCAGAAATAAGAGTTATTTGACAGACAATAAGTAGGTGCAGGGGCTGTGACTGGGATTCTGATGTGAGAGCGCGTCGCGAAATACGCGTTGTGATGATAGTGGTAGTAACCTTGATGAATGTGAGGGCGGTAGCCACGGGTAACCGAGGATACGCAGGAAATAAGATCAAATAAATAAGGGCGGTCAGGCAGAAGAGGGGGGATGACACAGATAAGGGTCAAGGTGAATAGGAAGGGCCAGGCGTGACTGGGCGCGGGCGCAACGCAGCTCTCAGCTCTCAGCTCAGCTCCAGAAACAGAGACTGAGAAAATCCGAGGAGGGTGCTAGAATCCTTAAGTACGAACGGCCGCGTCGCGCTCGTCCGTCCTCTGCCGCTAGCCCCATCTGTTGCGCTAATCCCAATCATTCTAGTTCAAGCCATTTAGCAGTCGCTGATTGGTTGTGCGATGACGCGTTCTACAAGATCTGATATATCATTGGCTGTTGCTTACTTTAGTGTGGAACCTTTGTACCAGAAGTTTTTTCTTGTCGGAACCATCATCCTTCTTCGAAAAAACACTCGAAAAATGATCACAAAATTTTTCGGGTCGAATGGATCAAAACAACCAGCACAAGAAAAGCAGAACAAAGATATGTTGATCTGACCGTAACCAAGAGAGTCGACCGCAGACTCTTTAGGCCATTTGGGTTTCTGTAAAATAGAGGATAAGGGCTGTGGCGAAACTATTGTCAAGTGGGAGGTCAGATATGACATACCCAAACCTGTTAGGCATTCACATTCAGGAGGAGTAGCATCATAAAATCTTTGGTTTGGAAGGAGTTGTGCTGAGCCTTACACAGGAAAAGAACCCATGTGCTGGCCGCCTTCTGATTATGGAAGCTACTATTGCCTTTGGGTCTTTTGGTAATCCCTGACCTTATAGTCGCATTTTGAACTCCAAATGGGGCATTTCTATGGAGGATATAATGTCATCTCGGCTCTGGCCGAGGAAGATGCATTGCAGTGCACTATGCTCTAATAAATAAGGTATATAATCACGTGATATTATATATACTTTAACGTCCATTCTGTCATTTGGTCCGCCGCACCACCTTCTGCTCTGGGTACCGCGCAAGGGCTGAGGCCACACAGATTGTGTGGCCAAAGTCCTTGTATTACGTCAATAGTAAGCGCTCTTTTGTGATCCTCTTCTAAGGTTGCCTTCAGCCCTCCAGGGCTCTCAGACTCTAATGACCGACCTCATATTCAAGGCCAATAAGGTTAATATATGCATTATTTTCGTTCAATCTGAGTGGCTGACTAACATCTTCCTCCGTTCAGATCCACGATCTCCATCTGATAGCAGCCGCGACCCAGCTTCCAAGTTCTCCTATCACCTTCCTAAGATACTTGCCGCGATGGTCTTGCCAGGTACAACCACCCGGCCTACAGGCCACCTTTCTTAGCATGACTGTTTACATTCCTCCATCTGCACCTCAGACGTTTCACTATCAACCATGCTTGGTGTTTTGCGTCCAGGTGGTACAATCTGCTTAAAGTATGCCGGATATGACCATTTCGTCGCGACCGTCTCCCACCATTACGATCTTCTGCAGCGTCGTGAGACCACACAACAGTACCTCGAGTTTTCCGGAGTGACCAGCTCGCAATTTGAAACCCTCTCTTCTGATCGGACCCGTCCGTGCAAATTCATCAGACTCGGCTACCATTATCCTTCTCAAGTCCTGCTTGTCAAAATTATGCCAGGTTGGGATCATGAGGAAATTGCGGGCTTGTTTAGGATGATGATTGACGAGCAATTATTCTCGATGCAGCTCAGCCGCGAGTTTATCGTTATGCAATCGCCAATCAACAGGCTTGGAGATTGGGCCAAGGAGCCCGACATCTGCTGGGCGCCGCGGGCCACTTCCTCTAGCCTCACCTGTGTAGTCGAGGTCGGAACCTCAGAGTCCGCGTCGCAGCTTGCTATTGACGCTCGGGGCTGGCTGGAGACACCAGGGGCCACCGTGAGGGCGGTCCTCACGATCTCACTCGATTTCAACGATTTGATAACGATTGAAGTTTGGGAGCTGGGCAATAGAGCCTCTGCCATCGGTACCCGCAATATGCCAAGCTCTGCGTCCCGAATCTGGTCCATACAGATCTCACGTGCACCTGGAGCAACAGTACCTACGATTTCTGGCTATTTAAGAGATCCTATCACGCAAGCCGCCACTCCGACAGATGAGATTCGTCTCGATTTTGATATGTTCGTTGGCCGCCAAGCGGCAGGAATCAAGGAAGGCGATGTCATACTGACGAAGGACCTGTTGGTCGAATTTGCAAAAGATTTTTGGGAGCTGCGTCGGCAGCGACAGCTTCTAGAAAACCTCAGAATGAATTAAAGCCACTGAGACAGCTGAATACAACCCACTCCTTTAGTTCCATTGCTTTCTACTGAATATCATCAATTCCATTGTTCCCATCGAACCCTGACCCTTTCTACGTTCGCAGTACTGAAAGCAAAGATATCGACTGGGGTCGATTAGAATTAATGAGATTAGGGTGAATCAAGATGGATAAAGGATGGAACCAGAACATAGCATTCCGCCGGGCACCAATTGATTTCAGCCCAGGCCGAATTGGACTCAGGGCTCAGCCCTCACCTTCCCCTTGCGTCGTAGCTCGTATCAGGCCTAGCGTGTCACAGTGATGCAAGACTGCCTAGTGCCAAGAGGAACCACAAATGGTGCAGGGTACTCCATAAACAACAAGAGTCGGCACCCAAGGCCCTTTTCCTTTTCTGGCAATCTCTCATATGGACATATCTGACCATGCCAGAGGTAAGTACCGGACTAAATCCAGATTGCATGTCTCAATGTAGGCATACTAGAGGACAACTTGGCTCAACACACCTACTTCTCTGAGTAGCAAGGATCCATAACTCTGCATTGAACGCAGCCGAGAGTAATTGTGGCGCTGCCACAGCCCTTGACAATCAACATCCAGCAAAGGATTGATCACTGGAAAGCACATTGTACCATAATTGGAGACTGGAGAATGACTGTGTCTGAGCTGCTTCCCCTGACTGAACACTTGTTTATCAGGTTGTTTTGAAACAGGTTGGTTGGAAACATACAGCTTCCTGCTAAGAAAGGCTCGTCATAATTGGTGATTAGTAGGCCGACTGCATGAACGTGCTCAGCGTAGTTAAACAAATTCGGGAGGAGTCAAACGCGTCAATAACTGGCGGTCTGATGCTGTCGCTTGATGTCGAGGTCGGCAGAAGTCTGCCAATCAATGTCATGAGCCCTCAAAGTGAACTGATAACGAAGTGAAGGAGACGATGAAGTCTCTTTTCTCAAGCAAACCTGGGGTACAGGCCCGGTCTTGATTTTTTTGGTCAAGCATGACTGAAATTTTCAGTAATCAAGCAACGAATGGGAATCATATTTTGCTGAGATCTAGGCAGACGATGGTTCATAGCCATTTCTTCTGCTGAGACTTCGGAGATCATCTGGCAAGGTGACCTAAACAGCACTCTTCATACTCGTGCTGATTGAACTTTGTTCGAAATGTATGAGCAGCAGAAAGACTGCAAAAACGGACAGTGGCGGATTAGATAAGGCATTTGATTGCGGAACTTCGTAGACACTAGACCACTTCCAGACTAGCGCAACATGGCCTACAGAACTTTTTTTTCCTTCTCAGCAACACTGCCCAGATACGGCGACGGTTGGCAGCTCAACAAGGTCAAAACGTTCAGCTCTCCGTTGATCATTATACTTCTCGCCGTCTGTCGTGAGTCACCTTCACCCGCGCAGTTTGCCAAAGATGGGCAAAAAAGCTTCTCGCCCACCTGTTTCGAAGACTTCGTCCGCTGCTTCGCCCGCAGTGTCCGGCCTCACATACACCGGGAATAAGTCTTCGATACTGAAAGCGTCGTTTGCACCCTCCGAGTATCAATTGGCGCTTTTTGCGTCTGTCATTCAGGGTCTCGATGCTCAGCACCTCCGAATTCACGACACAAATACCGGCCGTTTACAATGCGAACATGTCCTGGGTCCCAAGGAGACTGTCACATCTCTAGATTGGGGCTACTTCCCTAGCAGACAAAGAGATCGTGATCAACAAGCGAAGAAGAAGCGGAAGCGCCATTCTGACGTCAATGGTGCTAGCAATGGATTTGAGCAAGGGGATGTAGTTGTTGCTTTTGGTACAAACGCCTCCGAAATCCGCATGTACTCGCCTACCGAAGACAAGATTGTTGGGGCACTCGAGGGTGGACATGACAAAGGTGTTGTGGATTTCAAGTTCACTGCGAACCGACCAGGTCAGGAAGGTTGGAGTATTGGTGGTGATAACAAACTAGTGCAATGGGATTTGCGCACTGGAAAGAGTACCAGGTTGGTTTCTTTAACTCATTGATGCTTCAATATAACTCCAACTGACAGTGTTTTGTAGAACAATTCATCTACCAGCATCCACCGGATATAGCACCCTTTCTCGCCCCGTCCCCTCGAATCCGCCTGTCGTTTGCGCCTCTCAAACGCCCTACCTGATCGACGTTGAGGGGGATGAATCGACAGCATCCTTTCCTGCGATGCGGAACCAGATTCGGGAAATTATCAGTTCCTCCTCAGAATCCCTCGCGACAGCTCTCTTTCTTGCCTCTGATGGCGATCGCTACATCAATGTCTTTGACGTTGAGGGCCGGAAGCTTGTGTTGAACCTCGTGGCCGATACCGAAGTATCATCCTTGGCGTTGACTTCGGGTGCAGGACAAAGAACAGACGACGCTCTGACAATGGATAAGCAAATCCTTGCAGCTGTGACCGAAGATGGCACTATCGAACTTTTCACAAGACCATTTGTGCCGTCAAAGGATCAGAGCTCCAAGACCAGTCTCAAAGCGAGGGGAAAGCAACTCACGAGGCGGGCGGAGTCATCAATCAAGATTACCCAGTCTGAGACCTCGGATGCCTCTGTACCTGTGGTCGCAGCAGCTTTCCAAGGAACTGATATTCTCATTGTGTGGGCCGAAGGAGGCATTATTCCGGTCTTTGAGCGCATCAACTGTATCGATGTAGATACTGAGGAGTTAGCTTTCACTGGGTTGAAAAAGGTTGTCAAGGCCAAGTCTAGCTCGGTTCTTGCCTCGGTGACAACGAATGGAACTCGAGCCGCAGGTGAAACCCAAGTCGATGAATCTCGAGCAGTGGTCGAACAAGGGGACCTCGTGGAGGATGATGTCGAGATGCAAGATACGAGGGCTGATGCAACAGTGGCCGACAGTGAGGAAGATTCGGACGACGATGATGATGCGAAGAAGCCGGTTGAGAAGAAGGAAACTCAGCAACGGAAGCAGAAGAAGGATGCGGATAGTGACGTTGAGATGCGATCAGAAGCTGGAGAGGATGAGGATGCGGAAGAGAACGAAACGGGAGAGCCATCCTTTGGCGAGCTTTTGCGGGCCAATGCTTCGGAAGAAGTCGACGTGGAAGCCGAGCTTGAGGACGACGTCCGTATTGGATCTCTCGTCCCTGGGAAACCCAGCGCAGCGGTGCAGCAAATCACCTCTGGCGTCACGTTGTCTACAGTTCTTACGCAGTCACTCAAGACGAACGACAATGGGATGCTCGAGTCATGCTTTCACACGGGCGATCTTACCATTGTCCGTGAAACCATTCAACGTCTCGACTCTTCGCTCGCTGCCACCCTACTCCAGAAGTTGGCCGAGCGTCTCTCATCTCGCCCGGGCCGGTATGGACACCTTCTCGTGTGGGTACAGTGGACCTGTGTTGCTCATGGTGGCGCTCTCGCCGGCAAACCAGAACTGCTGAAGCGGATGTCTACTCTGTTTAAGGTTATGGACCAGCGCTCGTCGAGTCTGTCTTCCTTGCTGTTGCTCAAGGGAAAACTCGACATGTTGCATGCGCAGCTGGGACTTAGACAGTCCCTCCGCGGCGGAGCCGAGGGCATAGACAGCGAGGATGAGGACAATGTCATTTACGTCGAAGCCCAGGAAGAGTTCGAGGATGAGGATAGTGATGCCGACACCGCGAAGAACGCGGTAACGCCGCGAACCAAGTCGATACGCGATCAGACCTACGACGAGGACGAGTCCATGATCGACGGTGAGCAGTCCGGTCGGGACGAGTCGGATGATGAAGAGGATGAAGGCAGCGATGAGGAGGATGAGAACGAGGAGGACGTGTTCGACGTTGAGGCGGAGGAGTCTGTTGGTTCTTCTGATGCTGAGGAATCTTTAGAGGAGGACGAGGACGAGGACGATGATGATGCGGAAAGCGCAGGCTCGATGGCGGACTTCATCGCCGACACCGAAGACGACGAGTCGGATGTTGATGGACTCTCTGCGCAACCCCCGCCGTCCAAGAAAGCCAAATTTGGCGGTAGTGGAGGAAAAGGGAAGAAGTCGGGAAGGAGATAGATAGATAATACCCTGATTCTTCTGCTCTTGGGCACTCATGTCTGGTTCTTGTTCCTCACTTTTCTGTGATCTGTTGTTATGTGGATGGAGATTTTTTTTTTTGAACAAAAGTAAAAGAGACTTTCATTTTTCCTGAAATTGTTTGTGGCCACCAACTGTGATTGCATTAGAAGGTGGGAGACTGTTGGCTCTATCTACATTGCGTTACTACCTAGATACTTGTATATGCTGCACTTAATCTCAATATTCCTTCTGGCCCTTTCATACTGCATATGAGGCGCATACGAGTTCTTTACTATTCGATCATGACTTGCTCGGCCGATATGACTGATTTGCACAGTCGGAGTGATATAAATATATTCTCTTTCCGTGGTACCGCAACCAACCACTCCTCAAAACTCAACCTCCGTCGCATTACAAGCACCCTGATACAACACTCGATGCGCTGGTTCCTCTTCCTCCTCCCCCAAAGGCACAATCAGCGCAACCGTCGCTTCATTACTTGGATACTCCGTATAATGCCCCTCCGCACTAACATCCGCCGTATCCAACGCCAGAATCATCCCATACTTGCCCCCCAGGATCCAAGCCTCGTCATCTGAACAGGGCAAAGTGATATGAGCCAGTCCAGAGAGGAAAATCACCCATCTTTTCTCAAATTAGCAACGCTCCATCTCCATCTGGCTTTTGTTGATGACATGAGTGGAATACATACTGTCTCGCGGGAGCATTATGTCTCCCACCATCAAATTGAGCAGGGATAATATCGTAGGTCGCGTTGTCACCTACAGGTCCCAGGGAGAGCGTAGCGCTGCCTGAAACACCTGGTTGAGTTGATGAGGCGAAACCCGGTTCGAGTGCCCAGCATTCCAGGGTCGACTGGTTGTTTTGGGCGCCGATGACGGTGATGTTGATGGTGGCAGGGATAGATGTCACGGCAGTGGTCGCAATGGCACCTAGGAGAATGGATGCCACAACCTGCAAGAGGGATACCATGATGGCGACAAGGTGCGTGCGTAAGTTGATCTCAAGCTGTCAGACTGAGTTTTGGGATCTCCATCATGTCGGACAAGTCTTCTACTACTTAAATTGCGTTATTGATCGCTGCGGAATGTCGATCCATGCTGTCTGACTCTGGTTATTATCTGAGCCAGTACTCCGTAGAAGGATGTGTCATGATGCATGCTCGGTCGATCCCTTCCGAAGATTGACAAGGCCCAATCTCGTCTAACGCTCGCAGTGAGACTAATATTGCGTTTAGCAGTCGCTGATGGAGAACAGGTGAACATTCAGCCTGCTTACTCTCTATGTACTCTGAGTACTTCAGTCTCGAACAACCGGTAGGCTGGTACAAACTAGATAGATACTATTACGGAGTATTTAACTGTGTATTGTGCACAGCGCAAAAGACAGCTGATCGACACTATGATGATCAACAACTCCAAGGTCGATCTGAAAGGAACCAAACAATGCATCTCGTTCTGGACTCGATAAAATACCGGCGAGAATAGGAGAATGTATCCATTGGACATTGAATGGGGATACTTAAGGATACCTTAAGAATATCTACTCTTCTTTGTGTCTATGGACAACGTTTTTATCACTGCCATCCACATTCATGGATATGAATTTAACGATATCGCACCAGACCTTCAACACACAGGGCATTCCCACAAGAGAAAGATCTCAACTATCGGATGATTTCATCCCCGGGCTTCTCTAGCCCTTCAAGGCCTTCAAGAATCTGGCTTCCTCCGAAAGGGCCACAAGCTGCCGCCGTACTTTTCTTCGGCCCGCTCCACACCTCGTGAAATTTGACAGTCTGGTCACTCGACGCAACGATAATGCATCCCTCATCCAGCGTGCGAGGGCACCATAGACCTCCTTCTTTTGCGCTTGGTCGTAATTGAATAGGGTGCGTCGTGCGGCGGTAGGGTTCGCTTTGCCCTCGCCTGCGCTGGACCGTGGACGCTGAAGACGAGATGCTAGTCGCACGATCGAAGAGATCCCGCATGAGGACATGTGACTTCCCTGGATAACTCACAGCGCAGATGGCGCGCCCACAATGGACAGGACCAGCATTGCCTATCCCATCCCAACTAGTGCCATACGGACCCCACGGGATTGCAGCAATCTGCTCGCAGCTCGGCCACGCAAAGACAGCGATCCTGTACGGGTGCTCTGGCTGTGCGAACCCAAAAGTAGCGGCAATCTCCCTTCGTCTTTTGCTCCAAATAAGGCTGGTCACTTGCGCATACACATTGATGGTCGCCAGGCACGCCCCAGACGGGGCGTGCCAGAAATGAATGGCTCGGTCGTTCGAGCCGCCTCCGGTGGCAAGGAGAGACGGTTGCCATGGCGCAAAGGCAATTGCCTTGACAGCTGCTGCATGAACCAGTATATGCTTCTGGCTGTTTGGAGGTATCGTTACCGTTCTCTCAGTCCCCAAGGAGAGCGAATCGGTGTGTTTGAGGAGTGATGTTTGCAAAGAACCGAGGCGAAAGTGAGACCATGAAGGAAGCAAGTTGAGAAAGTCACGCCGCCTAAATAGGCGCTTGCTCGTGCTTGCAGAAAGATAAGAAAATGCATTCTGACATTGCACGCTTATCGACTGGCAAGTTTGAGCTGATTTACAGGGGTTCGTTGCACGGTTGAGCTGTCGCCAGGGCATGAGGTCACGGAGCTCGAAGATCAGACACGCGTTATCATTCCCTCCAGTAGCCAAGTAGGCCCCATCTGGAGACCAATTTATACCACAAATTCTCTGAGTATGTGCGGATATTCTGGCAAGTAGGGTGATAGCACCGTTCCAACCAAATTGTTCTCGGATCTCCTCACTGGGCCATTCCATTGAGTAGTACCATATGTTGCCAAGTTCATCGCCCACAGCAAGGTCTTCTGTATTGACTTCAACGTTGTGGAATCGCTCCGAGAACCTGCGCGTCACTGTTTGCCTGAAAGCCACGGAAGTGATACTGTTGGGATGACTAATTTCAAAGCGTGGCTCGGCCTCAGGAGCACTCCAGAGGGTGACCAGCCCACTTCGCCTACCGACGGCCAGGATGTCTTTGCCTCCGTCCTCGGACGAGAAAGATAGAGAGATTACGAAATTTGAGGGATGTTGATCCGTGAAGGGCGGATACAGCACGCCAAAAATCTCCGACCAAAGATACACACGGTGGGCAAGACCAACGGCGAGAACCCCAGAGGTAGGTGAATATGCGAGCGTTGTACAATAGAAATCATCGCGAAGATAAGGAGCGTCCAGGATCCGGAATGGGCGTGCTGGCACGATGCTCTCAGCGTCCTCTTTTGCAGCCGCCGACGTCCCTGTCAGGCACGAACGTTAGCACCTCCGAACATGATTTGAAGAGCCGATACTCCCGTTGTGAAACCTTCGTCGAAGGATTCTCAAAGATCAATTATGCAGTCTTATATGAGATTGAAAATTCATGATATGTGAGTGACTTGGACAAACGCAAGGATCTTTTGCATGTGTCGGAGGAGTGGAATGAAGCATAATACTGTAAACTAACATGCTTTCATAGATTTTGAAAAATAGCTCCCATCATAGAGGTAGTCTCATTCAAAGGGTAAGATCCATCAATGGAAAGAAAACACAAAAGTCTTTGGGCTTACATTGATCTGCCTCTCCCCTTTTCCAGGCACTGCCTTTCCATGTTAACGGAGAGAAACGTTCGTAATCAGGGCGCGACGGACTCGGCTTGGACTCAAGCAGAGGCCATAGCCTGCACTTCAGTATCTTGGCTATCGGGTCGATATTCAAAGCAAGAGCTACTCTCGACTCGTGCTTTTCTGGCTCTTCAGACGACGCAGCTTGAGAGAAAAATTTGGCCGTATACACGGGAGCAGTCTTCCGACTCGCAAGAGAACCTCTCGTGTCACCAGGTATCGCCATAAATTGTCTACCTAGCATGGCAGACGTTCCGCCGACGCTCCATACTGCCCCAGCGCTGACCTGTCTGAGAGGGTCCCGTGGTCCGAACCCACTGCCACTCCTGATAGCTGTGCCGTTGATCAGGTGGGGAATATAGTGAGGGCTGAAAGTACGCCCAGATTGTATTCTCGGAACACTTGCAGATCTGCGCGGCCGCGCAGGCATAAACGGATCTGACGTCGGTGTGCGTCGTCGCAGAAGCTTTTCTTCAGGGGTCAGTTTCTGCGTAGGCTTTCCCACTCGCAACGGTGTGGACGGAGGATCAGTGAATTCTCTCAAAGGGATGAATCTGTCTGGGGATTTTGGGCTTCTCGAGCCCTTTGCCATTGCAACAGCATTGAAAGACCGCTTGGATCTTCTGCGACCTCTCTCAATAGCTGTCTCTTTGACTGCGGACAGGTGCGTCGTAGCTCCAAAACCGTCTCTGCTATTGGGGATCTGCTGTCCATGGTTCTTCATGCATGAAATTTCAGAATCAAATGAGCTAATGGAGAGCCTCTCGAAGGAAGGCAGAAGAGATTGTACTTCATCTGAAGATTCACTTGGTGTATCAGATAGAGGCAAAGGAATGGTAGCAGAGTCGACTAATTGCACGGACTCGCGTTCTTGGGATGTCGATTGTATATCAAGCAAAAGACTGCTTGCTGCAGAGTCTTCTGAGCATTTCGAAGAGCGACATGTCGAATTGGTCATTCTGTAATGCGCTCAAGAGACAAAAATGTATATACTATGTGGGCTGATAAGCGCTATGAGAAAGGAATGAAATATCGTGCCGCTAGCAAAACACGGGGCCATAAGTAAAAGCTATTGATGACCAGCACCTTGTTGAATCATAATAGGCCCCGAGATTCTCAGATGCAAGAAAGTGTAGGCAGTGTATGTGGTTGTATTGGTTGTCCTTCTAAGGGGGCACAGCACGTGACCTTATCGAATCTGGAAGGCGGCTTCTGTAAGGCAAGCGTTACTCCTGCTTCACCATACTTGTCGATCCCCGAAGGGAAGTGTCGCAGGAAGACGAACCTGCATATGCCGATGTGACTGCTGCTTCAATATGGCTGGTGTATATTTCAACGATCTGACCAAATGTAATATCTACACATTTGGACTAACTTTTGGTTCCGTAGCATGGAATTCCCCGCTACAGCTCATTGGGAGAGCGATCCGAAGAGGCCCTCCAACAGGAACTTCGCAAGATTGAAAACTATCAAGCACTCGACAGACTTGTTCGCGACAAGGTAGATTTTGATGCTCCTGCTTGTATTTCTCTTCTTTTTTCTTCACACATACCTCATAGTAAACGGCAAAAGACTGATGAAGCTTGCCAGATCGCTGGACATGATTATACACCTGAAACACTGCAAAAAATCTCTGAATTACTGAGCAGCAACCCAGAATACTATACTGTATGGAATTACCGACGGAGGGTTCTGCAACATGAGTTCAATTTGGCATCGTCAAACGACTCAGAGGGAGCTGCAACTGGCCAGATAGCTGCGCTGATCAAAAATGATCTGCAATTCCTGATACCCCTCCTCCGGAAATTTCCCAAGTGCTACTGGATATGGAATTATCGCATGTGGCTTCTTGATGAAGCCAAGCGTCTTCTTCCTCGAGCTGTTGCTCAGAAATTCTGGCAAGAAGAGCTTGCCCTTGTGGGTAAGATGCTTAGCTTGGATAGCAGAAACTTCCACGGCTGGGGTTACAGACGTTTTGTCGTAGAGTCCCTGGAGAATCTTGCGCCAGAAGACCAGGAAGTGCAAAGCATGGCACAGGGGGAATTTGAGTACGCGAAGAAGATGATAGGCACGAATTTGTCCAATTTCTCTGCCTGGCACTATCGCACGAAGCTCATCCAGCGGCTGCTGAGCGAGCAGTTTGCCAGTGACGAGACACGCAAGAAGATGCTCGATGATGGTCAGTGTCCTATTCGATCTGAATATGTGTCTGCCATTGCAACGTTGTTGACAGGGATAGCAGAACTGGATCTCATCCACCGTGCTCTATGTGACCCTTACGATCAGTCACTGTGGTTCTATCACCAGAATCTGATGTGTACTTTTGATCCTTCGCTATCAGATCAGACAATGGCGCCAAATCTCAGTGATATTGAACGGTCAGAATATTTGCGCAGGGAAACCGACGAGATTCAAGACATGCTTGATGGGGCAGAGGATTGCAAATACATATACCAGGCGCTGATCGACTGTACTCTTTTGGCAAGCAAAGTTGAAGGGACTATGTCCAATACCGACAAGGAGAACATTTTAAGCTGGCTTTCCGAACTAAAGAAGTTGGATCCGCTACGATGTGGACGATGGCTAGATTTCGAGAAGTCGCTCTGTGCTGATGTATGAACGATTTAGTTATCTTGTGGAAATTCCACGATGTTTTCATGATGGCCCTCGTCCAAATAATCCTGGATGATCTACCTTGTTCAGTGTCTCTTGAAGTTCTGCCGATCGAGTAGGGAGGTAGAATACACATTGTGAGTGTGGAGTAAGTAACATTAATATCGAGATTAATCCGGGGCGAGTTTCAAAATAACAAGTGGCAACAGCGTTTCAGTTACACCACGGTAGTATCTCAGTGATCACAGCACGTATTATCTACATGGTTTAGGAACAGCTTGTAGATTGACGTAGACGACATTTTGGAGAACCCATCAAAGTTATCCTGATAGTTTAACAGAGGACAACTCGTACCTGAAACTGTGGGCCAGCCAACTCGCCCTTCTCCCACCCGTTACCCGTAGAACTACCTCAACCCACAGGCCGAGACCTGCCAATCGAATCACTGCTAGCCAGAAATAGTCTTGGCTCTCCCATCAAAATAATGGTACCTTAGATCCATTCATTATTGAGAGCGGAGAGAGATGTAACTCCAAGGGATTCAAAGTACGTAGGTAGTCAACCAGCAGCATTGGATTTCTGAAGTTCGGTTGAACTTCTGCTCTTCTTTTTTGCTTTACCAACCAAGGATTTGCCGGTGGCTTTGTATCCATTCTGACCACCCAACCTCCGCTCCCTTTCGAACACCTCCGCCCACTGCTCGCCTCCCCCTTCCCTCCCCTATCATGGACCTTTGTTGTCCTGATCACCCGGCACTTCCTATTTCATAATCCAATATTTTGGAATCCCTTGAAGAGCTTTCATAAGATCTCAATCGTCCGCCTAGCTGGCTCCAGGCGGTCGAGTGCGCCATGTCTTCCAGACGAAACAGTGCCCAGTACGATGGGGTGAGTGTCTTTCCCGGCATTTGTTCCTACTTGGGAAATATTCGCTGACGATGATGTTGATAAGGAGTCATTCGATGACGCCTCTGAAGTACAGAATACCAGCAACCACAACCTCACCGTCTCGATTCCTCAGAGCTCGTCTACACGCTCTCTCACAGACAGCCCTCCGAGCGGAACAGGTGCAACTCCTCAGTTAACCGAAGCACCGTCTCTCCCTCCTGTTTTCCAGAACGAGGATAAAGAGGTTGAAGACGCTGAAGATGCCAGGTCAGAAAGGCAGTCTGAGTCGGAGGAAACGCCTCGCAAGACCAAATCTCCAAAATCACCCTTGTTGACGGCCCACCGACTATCGACGACTTCTCTTGACGAGGTGAATCTTGCTAGCAACAATTTAGATGATGTTATCCTGCAGAATCACGACTTGGGCCAGGAGCCCATGGCCGACGTTCCCCCTGTACCTTCCCGAAATTCAGCATCCTCCGCTCAAAGCATGCCCCTCCAGGGGTTATCTGGCAATCTCCCTTCCAACTCATGGGGACCACCTCCCGTGAACAAGACCCCGACCCCAGCAGCCCCAGCTCCAGCGCCGCCCATCACACGAAAACTCACCGGCCCATTTGCCTGGCTTTCCAGGAGCTCAACGGCGAGTCGCGAGGTCAAGTCGCCTCCACCACAAACCAGTCGGCGGAACACGGCCGCGTCCGTCTCTACACTCTCGAGCAATTCGGAGTTGACCAATCGTCTACAAGATGGAGAAGATTTGGATGGTTCAGCGGCCAGGAGACCAAGGCGCAGCAGCCTAAAGGACCAATTCAAGTTACTAAGGATGCGGGATGAAGGGCTGGTTTTGGAGAACGACGAAGCAAGTGTCGCGTCAGGACGGGCAAGCATTAGTCATTCCGCTGGAAGTCCTCCCAGTATACCCGAAGAAGAAGAACATGCCTCCGCTCCACCTCTTGCATCGCCACCCACTGTTCCGCCTACAGTCAATCCCAATCTGCCTCCAGGAACGGTCTCAGGATTCTCCGCCTCTGCCACCGATGCGTCTGCACCTGTTGATTGGGAGCTGTGGCAGCAACTTGTAAACCATGGTCCGCAGGCGCTCAAAGGGGCGAACTCGGAAGAGTTCAATGCGGCCATCAAGCGAGGAATCCCGCAGACCATTCGAGGAGTCATCTGGCAGATTCTGGCTGACAGCAGGAATCCGGAGCTGGAGGAGGTCTACAGAGAACTAGTTGCCCGCGGCACGGATAAAGAAAAGCAACTCACAAACGGTACGGGGGAACGGGAGTCCCTGGCTTCGTCTCGCGCGTCTGTGCGATCAGAGAACTCAACTGCTCACTCCAACCACGGATCTTCCCCAAGCCCCTCCCAAGAGATTGATCCTGAGAAGCTGGCCAAAGAGCAGGCGGCTAACGAGACAGCTCGCAAGAAGAAAGCCAAGGAAGATGCCGTGGCACTTCAAAAACTGGAGAAGGCTATTCGTCGTGATCTAGGCGCACGCACCAGCTATTCCCGGTACTTTCTCTCACAAGGAAACCAAGAAGGCTTGTTTGGTCTGTGTAAAGCCTACGCTCTCTACGATGAGGCCGTGGGATATGCACAGGGGATGAACTTTATTGTCATGCCGCTCCTGTTCAACGTAAGGACTCAACCCTAACTTGCACTCAGTGGGAGAATCGTATTGTCTAACTACATGTCCCAATAGATGGATGAGGCCGAGGCCTTCACGCTGCTAGTGAAGTTGATGAACAAGTATGGCTTGCGAGAGATGTTTATTCATGACATGCCTGGTCTCCATCGCAATTTGTACGTCTTCGAACGTCTGCTGGAGGACTGGGAACCAGCCCTCTACTGTCACCTTCGCCGGCGAGGTGTTCACCCCCAACTCTATGCCACTCAATGGTTTCTGACTCTTTTCGCCTACCGTTTCCCGCTACAACTTGTTCTCCGAATCTACGATCTCATATTCGAAGAAGGTCTTGAGAGCACCATTCTCAAGTTTGCAATTGCTATCATGCGCCGCAATGCTGAGACCCTTCTGACAATGAAGGACATGACGCCACTGACTACTTTCCTGAAAGAACGCCTGTTTGATGTCTACATTGACAAGCAGCCTTCACCATCCTCGATTCTTGAGTCTGGGTTCTTCGGCAGCTCTGGCGCCGCGGACAAGGAAGTCTACAGGGCGGATATCATGGTACAGGACGCTTGTGCGATTACTTTGGCCCCCGGAACGATTAGCGCCTACACTGCGGAGTGGGAAGTAAAAGTGCGGACGGAGCGAGAGCGTGAAGCTGAACTGGAAGGGCTCAGGAACACCGTGGCCAACCAAAGTGCTCGGATACGCCTCCTAGAAGAGCAAGCCGAGGCATCCGATAAAGAGCATGTACAGCTTGCTTCAGAACTCGTGCACCTCAAGGTTGAAAATGAGGAGCTCACCGACATCAATGATGCCCTGAAACTCCAGGTTAGCGAGTTGAAGATCGTTGTGGACAAGCAGCCCGCGGAGGTTGAGGAGAAGCTTCGCACGGAAATGGACCGGATCATGAAGCGCAATATGGAAGTTCAAAATGAAAATCGGTCGTTGTCAGAGCAGATGGCAGAGATGGAGAGGGAGCTCGTGGAGGCGAAGATGCAATGGGCTGAGGTAAGCATTCAGCGATTGTTAGAATGATCTGCCCTGATCTAATGTTTATGCTGCAGATACACGAAAATTACGAGAACCTCAAACAAAAATGGAGTGATATTCGCAAAGCTCTTGATTAGACTTGTGAGACGTGTTATGCAATCCGAGTCCGTGTACTCCATCACGTTCAGCAGTATCATCCGATCTCGATTTTGCCAAACCGCTAATCACACGGAGCGACTGTGGCACTTGCAGTTTCTCATGTACATTTACGAAGCCTATCAGCCGGCCATGACCAGTTTATACTGCATGTCTACGGGAGCTTCATGGTCCAATTTCATGGATGTCGATGTGTAGAGTGTATTTTTCCATCGTGACATCCGTACGCCTTTCTTTCCCCTCCGCCTGCGATTATCGGACGGGAAGACTACAAGCACCTGTCCTCGACAGCTTTGACGAGGTAATGCGATGCCGCTTGCGAAAGACACAATTGCCATCACTGGTCCTCAGTTTGCCGCATTCATGCTGAACCGGTGGTTTTCCTCATGTTTACTGGATACGGTTCCTAGGCCCGTGACGGGAGAGTTCTGGATTTGCTATTATGGCAGAGAGCATACTTGATGTATGCCATGTATATCATCAAATAGAGACTATCCAAATATGTGTATGAATTCGGCATTCGGCCTAGATTTTCTATACAAGCATGACCGTCCTCTAGTCCAATAATCATATCACCATAAGCCTCGAAGAGTACAAAACAAGATAGAAGTCATCACAGAACGCTCTCAAAATAAGTTGTGAGAACATCTTCCTTCGCTGGCCCCGCCACAGCCTTCAGCGCCTTGTGCGCCTCACACTCTTTATCATAGTACTCCATGTCCTCCATCGAGGCAAAGGTCGTCTTCACGGAGATATTGAAGCCCCTGTTGCGAGGATCCGGGAACGACTCGCCAGCCGCCGCGCTGAGGATATACGGTTTTCCATCCTGTGTTTCCATCAATACCCGTCCGACTTCAAAGCCCGGAAGAAACAAACCTTCACCGCAGTTTTCGCGAGGACCTTGTACTGCTCCAGGATGCGGGCACGGTCTTCCGCCTTGGGGACCTTGAAAAGAGTGATGCGTTCGATGGGGGCCATTTTCGGGACTCGGAGCATGTAATTTCCACAGCGTGTTCAACGAAAGATATATAGAAGTGATCTATTCAAGGTACGTACTTGAGATGGAAATAGAGACGAGGGGAGGCTGATTCAAGTAGGTTCACTTTCCGCTATCGGATGGATATCGCCGGGTATTTATGTGGGCTTGGGGG